TAAAGGTTAATATAGACCACCACTGACCCTGAATCGTTGAGGTAGAGCAGTGGAGAATTGGTTCTCACAATGTGCTATGTATCTGGCGACTTGAGATTGATTCCCAGCTATGGCTATCATCAGTGGTGAGTGATATCTGAAGCAGTCCTGGGCACCCCTTTTACCAATCTGTACTGACCAATGTGGTGAAGTATGATCAGCTGTTGTAAATTAATATAATATAACTCTTAACACCGTGATGTGACTGATTACAGGCCCAACCTACCATTACCAGTTATCTAAACATGCCCTGAGCTACTGTAAGGTCAATTTAGCATGAAATTATGCATTACATTTAACACTGGGACAAAAGGTGGTTAGAAGTGCATTGTTCTGGTTACATTACCCCTTCACTGCCTGGCAGGCCTTAATAGGTGTTCACTAACATCACTTGCCATAACAGCTGTGCCGTGGTGGAGTGGTGGCATAGTGGATAGTGTACTGGAGTATTAAATCGGTGACCTAAGTTAACATCGGTGAAATTAGTACCTGCTGCGATGTGTAAACATCAGCAAAGAGGAAACAAAATAATTCGGGCATGGTTCTGACTACACCACCCCCTCGTGTGCCATGCTGGTGTTTATATGACTTAACAGAACTTTCCCCAGCAGTCTGAAAATGCAATTCCATGAGTCCTATATATATACACACGTTTGCGTGTATTCATGTGTACATATAGGTAGATGATTGCACAGGATTCTGGGGCATGTCAACGGAATGGGGAGGTCATTAAATAGCAGTGGATTGATCATGGCTGACGATGTGTACGTGCGTAAATGCGCGTGTAACACTGGCAGTGCCCGTGGACCCGAGCCTCATCATTGTGGTGCAGGCAACGCGAGACGCGTACATACCGCGGGCGGGCGTGCGCGACCTGCATGAGATCTGGCCGGGCTGTGAGGTTCGCTACCTGGACGGAGGACACATCAGCACATACCTCTTCTCACAGAGCCAGTTCAGGTGAGTGCGAGATATGGGCCAGACCACCTGGGTCTGTCTCATGACATCTACGTTATGAGATGCTGGATGTATTGCGGGATGTATTGCAATGCAAGCCGTTAATCAGTTTTTTTTGTTTTTCTTCTGCAATTATATCCCGATTGTGCTACGGGTGTGACATCATGAGATTTAGAATCAATTCTGAGCAGTGCAATCCTTGGAATTAGAGACTTGCTCACGTGAGTCGATATCAGAGCGACCTGTGAATTCCCTGGTTTGCACAGCAGGGGGCATCACTTTCCCACCACTTTTGCCACTGAGAGTAATGTTTGTCGCATGGCGGACAGAGCAATATTTTTAATTCACAGTGCTGTAATATAGACAAATTTAGTGTAAGATAAAATTAATGTGATGGGTGTCTTTTTTGTGTAGTCATTCGTGTCCGGACTGAGACCAATGTACTTTAATTATGAGCTGCTTGGATTTTAACCCAAGGTCTCAACGATACTAGCTTACCACATTGACCTCTGAGCCACCGGCCACCTCAAAATCCACCCATTTATTATTGTCAGAGAAGGAATCTGCATGAGATACTCGACTGTTGGGTAATTGGGTGGCAGGAGGACGCAGTACATTTAGAAGAATTCTGTCTTCATATTGGAGTTTGAGGCCCTCATCCAGCAGTGGATTGACAAGGGGCTGTACACGTGCACCAATATGTAAATACTACATGACCTCAGTGTAAACCAGGTTGGCAATGTTGGCACCCCTTGTTGGTGGAAGGCGATGGCGATCGTAATTGGCAAATGTGTAAAGTAACTTAATGTGATTTATCTCACAGACAGGCGATTTATGATGCATTCAGCCGCTACGTGAGGAAGTATCCCGATGCCTGGAGATAGTGCAACCACCTCGCATGTCATCAAGCTGGTCGCACATGCAACACCATTTTGTCCTTGTTTTTTTATCTTAACTGCCTCTACCAGCAAAAGTGCCATTTAATACATTTTTCAGGCTGTATCGTTACCTGCAATGTCCACTCGTGGGAATTTTGTGTTTTATTTTAAGGGTCTCAGCTAGCACTAGCCAATGTGCTGCATTGTTGTCGAAAATAAGAAGGGAAAATGTGGGTTGCTGATTTGAGTTTAGGGTGCTAATGCATGCTGTGGCACAGAGCCATTCTGGCCAATAAGTGTCTCTTTTCAGCTAACAAGGTGAGTTTCTGTTGAGCTCGTTGAAATGTCTTTCAATCAAGTCCACTTCTTTGGGCTACTATATTCTGTCCCAGCTTAATGGAGGAGACAGCAGTAAAAGATTGTAAACTTCATCCTTTTTATACCACACTTCCACCGTGAAATGCGGTGTTTTTAAGTTTATTAATATGTTGTACTTAAACGAACTAAAATATTGCAGGGAGTTCAGTCCGTCCGTCACTTGCATAGGTGCACAGTGTCGCCCTCGAGCTCATTGAGGAGAGGATGCCTCGCTTGGTTCCGGTCATGAATTGTCTGTCACCTCCGTCCTCTTGGATTTTCCCTCGTCAAGGCCATGAAACATTATGGCGATTTTAGGTATATAAACGCACTTGCCTAAATTTGGTCAAAGCTGATCGCTTAATCCCCTTTGTGGGCAACTGGGATGGCATCTTACAATCAAGTTTGTGCTCGACACCAATTTTGGTCATTAAACAGTGCAAACTTGATTTTTTTTTAGCTGTGCTGAACACTTACATTGTGATACCAAGTTACCGTATTGTCTATTATAAAAACCGTTGCTGGTGATTACCAGCAATCTATTTTTTACCTTTGTTTTTTATTTTACTAGGTAAGGCCCACTGAGCTATATAGCTCTTTTCAGAAGCGACCTGGCAACCAATGATAGCTCAACAAAGTGGCTTATGTGGAAAGTTAGAGCAGCCAAATACTCTAAATCGCCAAAGTTATCATGGCCTTTATGAAGGCACCAGCAGTAAATTGTATTTATTTTCCGTAAATTGAAATGGTGATTTCTTTACTATTTTTTGTATGTATCAAGAGATTTGTGCCTGGTAATTGTTGATCATGCCTTTTTGAAATATGCAATGTTTATAGTATGGGTGCTTATAGTTTTACATTGGAAAACAGTAAAAATGAGTAAATTGACAAGTGACATAACTCTAATTTTAATAGCGATGACTTTACTGTGCAAATCGCTGCAAATTCTGTTGCTGATTTTGCTTCGTTCACATTTTGTGTATGTAGGGTTTCATAATATGCTATTTTGTAATGAGTGATGGCTTTTGAAGGCAGTGCTTTTGTCAACGACAACGTCTGGATGTACTGAGTGAGGACCGTGGTGGACTTGCCGCCTTGCATTGAGTGACATGTACTTGCCCAAAAAAAATCTGTTAACTTGAAATTTACACCATACGCCACTTGAACACCGTGCGAGTTCAGCATCCGTGTGTAAAATGTTATTCAATATTTAAATGCAGGCTGTGATATGACTTAGGTTGTAGCAGTAAAGCTATGAAATGCACGTTATTTGGTATAATCATTGATTTTGGTCACGTCGTTGGCTGCTTACCCGCCAAAGTGTTTAATAGCGATACTTAATTAATAATTAACATACCCTTATCAATCCACTACTGGATGAAAGCTTCCCCATACTTTTTTTCAGTCGGGGAGGTTTATTGACTGTATGTACTTAACCACGCTGATCAATGTGGGTTGGTGAATGGCGCGCATACGACCACATCAGATGTCACCCACCACAGGCGTTAGCTGTGGCCCGCAATCGAACTCAGGGTTCATCGCACAGCACGCTCACCTCTGCGCCACATCGTCACCATATTTGATGTACATTCTTATAAAGCTGTTTTGCTTTGTGATAAGTCGGTAATTTAGTAAATTCTCCATGTGCCCTCCTTTGCAATGTATTCAAACTCATTGCTAACATTCTTTGAGTGGCTTTCAAGCAAATATGTTCGCTTAACTGCATTAGCCCCATGCAACATTGTCAAGTAGTCTCCTTTGTCTTTTAGCAAAGTTGGCCGATCACTAAAACCACATGCCTGGGTATCTTGACCAAAATCGCAATTTCTGTTCGTGTTCTTTCTGGTGCGTTGCACAATGAAGCGGTGCACGTTGTGTAACGCTCTTGCAGCCTCCTTCGGTGAACTCTGCATTTGACGGTGGGGCGATGCAGTCATTGCTGCTCTGCAACTTCTGCAGGCCTTATTTTGCCTCGCAGTCGGCAGATGCCACCCCTTCATTGAGCAGTGGATTGAGAATGGCTGTCGATGGTGGTGTTGCTGTGACGGTGCTTGCACTAAGTGAAAACACCACCGCCGTGTTGTCTTCGACCAGTTTTATTTATAAAAGGAAATTCAATAAAAAATTGAAAAAAAAATGATTTCACGTGTTTATTGGGTTATAACAATGTATTTTGTCAATGTTATGCGAATACTGTAGTGTCTACAGCGAGATGTATTGTGGTATTGCAAAGGATGGTCATGTCATAGAGACCATACAGCAGTTGATGGATCATGGTTGGTAATAGCAACAGTGGAAATTTATTTTTTCATAAGTTCACAAATGAATTGAATGACGTGTTATAATGAATGTCTTTCGATTTTTATGTGTTGGATTACTATGCTCCGACAGGGATGCTCCCTGCCTTTAACCCACACGAACCAGCATAAAGTACAGTACCGTATTGCCGAATTACCTCTACGATCTACATGGCATGGGGGGGGGGGGCTGTCATCCAGCAGTGGACTGACCATGTTTGATGATACGCAATAATCTGAGAGCGCCACGGTTGCGAGATGTTAACACCCTCGCATGGTATGCAGGAGGTCGTGGGTTCGGTCCTCCTGTATATTTGTGGTTTGCATGTCTCCCCGTAGCCACGTGGATTTTTCTCCGGGCTGCTATCAGTGCTATACTTCCACGTTGAGCTGTCATCTGTAGTGAGGTCGCTTTTGAAAAAAGAGCGATATAGTTCAGTGGGCCTTTACCTGATAAAATACAAAGTTTAGTTTTCAATCCACTCATTGTCGAGAGTGGCTCGCGGTGGAAATTCCGCATCCTCATCGTCAGGAGCCAACCTCTTCGCACTTAACGTGCACCGTAATCTTACGAACACGCATACTGTACCGCAATTGTGTTTGATGTAGGGTACAATATTCTACTTCCAACCTTAGAACACGCCAGTAACCCCAGGCAAAAACGTGTATTGTTTAAAAAAAGGCCGGTCATGTTACGGCCTCGCGCAGTCGTAGGCCGAGCGATGACTTCACTTGCTGGACAGCCGCACTCGAGACCACGCTGCGGGAGAGACACGTGGACTTTCACTCGCCGCGCGTGACGTCACACAGCGAGCGCCACGTTACCGTCGTCCGCGTCATGACGTCACCGCCACCAGTTTCACTCGCGCGCCCTCCCCCCCCACGCGTCACATCTACCGCCGGCACCCGGCGGGGGAGCGCGATTACGTCACGACACGTTACCACCTGACGGTGCGCGATGACGTCAGGAGACTTTACACTCCCTGGCCGTGCGCGAAGACGTCACGATACGTTGCACTCTGCCCATGCGAGATTTCGTCACGACACGTTATACACCCTGACCGTGCGCGATGACGTCACGACACGTTGCACACCCCGACGTCACGACACGTTACACACCCTGACCGTACGCGATGACGTTACTCGCGCTCCACCAGCGCGACAAAACATTTCGTGTGCGCGGCTCTCGGCAGTTTTGCCCCCCCGCCGCCGCCTCCTCCTCCTCTCAGTGCATTGCGGCGGACGCGAGGAATGACGTCATCCGTGGGCGTGACGTCATCACGCAGGCATGCGCCCTCCTCGCACTCATGGCGGCGAGACCATGTGCGCGGCGTGGTAGCAGCGGCTCGGGCGACTTCTAGCGCGTCTCGCTCTCTTGAGTTTGAACTCCGTGGCCTCGAGCACACTGCCCGAGCGAGCCTCGCATGGAGTGAGCCGGGCGGGCGAGGCTGGTCGCTGGCGGGAAGGGTTAGAGCAGGAGGCGAGCAGGAGAAGGCGGCGGCACCACGGGGTCGGTCGGTGTGTCTTGTGTGTTGCTGGGCGCCCTCGCCTCGTGGCTCTCTCGCTCTCTCCCTTCACTTTAAATTCATAACGTTTTGATTTAATTGTGAGCGTCGCGTTAATTGCTCTTAAGCGAAGGGCCCAAACAAGCTGCTGCTGTTGGCTCGCGGTTTGTTTTCGAGAGGAATAAGTAAAGAGGCGTGGGATTGGAATAAGTAGAGTGAGGGCCTCAACGTGGCCGCTCGCGACGTGGTGCGGCACCACACAGAGGCTGTGCATCACATGGTGCTCGAGTTCCACCTCTGAGCGTTGGCCGCAGCTTTTGAATTCCTCTTTGGCGAGCAACAGCGAAGCCCCCCGTGGGCCATGTCGGCCCAGGTCGAAGCGCCGGGCCCAGTGGCCGAGTTGGGCCCAGCAACAGGCCCCAGTAGCAGCAGGGGTAACGCCGCCACCACCGCCAGCAAAAGCAGCGGCAAGAATAACACCTCAACCTGCAACGTTACTCCCGCTGCCGTCAGCGCCGGCCACAACAGCACCGCCAGCGGTTGCAACAGCAGCGCGGCCACTGCAACAAGCAGTGGTGGCAACAAGGAGAACGTGGACGCGTCCCGCGAGGGGGATGCGGAGAGGGACGATGCCGCCGCCGCTGCCGCCCCCTTGGCGAAAGCGAAGGAGTTCGTGGAGGCCCCCCCGCCCAAGGTGAACCCGTGGACGACTCGCAAGGTGGCGGTGGCGGTGAGCGCTGTGCCGGAGACCGTGCGTCCATCGCCGCTCGTTGAGGACGACCCTCTCCCAGGTTCGTGGTGGTTGATGGTAGAGTTCTGAGTCAAGCCATGCAGTCGCAGTAGTACTGATAAATAATAATGGGGCCGTTTGCGTGGCAACGAAAGCCACGTGGAGTTTCTCCGCGGCCCTCTGCGGGAGAATTTTGTTTAGCGATGTTTTTGTCCAGCTCCTTTTTAAAAATAAAAAATAAAACACAGGCCCGAGACAACTTCCCTCGGATGAAATTCATCATTCGGTTTTTACCGTTCTCATTCCAAAATCCTAACCCGTCCTTCACCCCCCTGCACGACAGTGTTATTGAGTCTCGTGTCCGAATTTTTTTTTTAATAAGCGCGAATTCTAAAGAACCACTAACTGGTAAGCAAAAAAAACCAAAAAGGTCTCTCTCTTGCGCGTGGACGTTGGTCGCTTCCATTTAAATGCAGATTTTTGCCAGTTGATGGGCGGTTGAGATTATTGCAGCTGCAATGAGAGTGGCAGAGGGCCGACGTTTGAACCGGTATCACAGAGAAAATTCCGGATAGCCCGGAGCAACAGTGCCCCCCGGGGGGCCGGTGAGGAAGAGAAGGTCCCACGTGGGGCTGGCCCGACTCGCTCACAGCATCTCCCATAGCACGCTCCCCCCACCACCCACCACCCCACAGAGATCAAGCTGTACAGGCATGGGAAAGTGCTCTTCGTGGGCACACGTTTAAGACTCGTGATAAGAAGAAGGGCCATTGACAATGAAAGGTCGCCCATCATATATTTGTTCACTAATTTATGGGTAAAAAAATTAAAGTCAAATGTTATTGCCGGATGTATTGAGGGTTTTTTTTTTTTAAGTGGCACAGTGTAAGCCAAGAGGGTGGTAGTGGCATTACTTCGCCTGGGCACGGGTGTCTCGCCAATGCGTCAAACTATGAACATCATTGGGTGATGTGTTTCGTTTCACTGCGTTAAATTACAAAGTGAAAGGCGTTTTACGCAAAATTAAAACGAACGGCCACGGGTAAGCATTTAAGGCCCTGTAAGGAAAAAGAAAGTATACGGAGCAATGACCAGCGGTGCGTGGGAGAAACCACTATCCAGCAGTGGATTGACAAAAGGGGATTCACAATTGCATGTGCAACACATCCCAGGACCGCTTTAAGTACCACATCCGCACGAACGTGCAATTTTGTGGAGGGGGGCTGTGTTCTGCTCGTGTGGTGGAGAACTGTTATTATTATTTTGCTGCATTGCTCAAGCTTGGATATAGGTGTACTTATGACATTTAAACGTATGTACTTTAGTTATTTCGGTAAAGTCACGTAGAATGAGAATAAAATAATAAATTGATAAAATAACACAATAATATTCTCACGACGTTTCGGCCACAACACAAGCGGCCTTCATAAGGTGAAGGGGACGAGACTACTACTATCGTTTTTTGTATTGTAACTCTCTGATCCGCCCCTATTGGAAAATTGTGAAAAAGAGCTTCATAGCTCATCCTATTTTTTCAGGATAGATAGACATTCTGATTCTGATATTCTTGGCTGGCAACTGAACCCAAGAGGTTCGTGATTGAAGTGCAATGTCTACGAACTGCTGTGATGCCACTCCACAAACACGTGAAAACTACTTCCCTGTTTCCTCTAGCCAGGCACAGCTGCGTGAATGAGTGAATAATTTATTGTCCTCATGTGAATAATGATTTTTGTAATTAACCACCCGTGTCAATGTACTCTTTAAACATTTTCATTAATAGGTGGGTCTTGGCCTCAGAGCCTCATCACATAAGGACCTGGTAAATTAGACCCAAGGAACAACTTAAATAGAATTCACTTTAGAGCAGTGTTCCTCAAACTTTTTTGGCCTGCAGACCACTCAGCCGATGCACAGCCCACACAGTTGACCCCTGGTGACAAAATGAATCATATTCCCGGAACATTAAAAAAATGTATACGCAGCCTAAAGGTTTTTTTAGTGGAGGGGGGGGGGGTTTAGATCAAAGGGTTAGGGTCGTTTAATCCGGGTTAGTTTACCGAACTTCATTTTTAAATTGACTATACTTCATTTTAAATTAACTATAAGTAACATTAATGTCTGAAACAAAAGCTACAAACATTGTCATCATTTCTGGATCAAACTGTATTTGCATCGCAAGCTAGCGGTGAACCACCTGGAGGACCGGTGTGGACCACCGGTGGTCCGGGGACCCCGCACTTTGAGAAACGCTGCTCTAGAGCATTCTCACCACATCATCTGAGTGGTCTGGAAATACTATAGTGGTTAGCCGGATGCCAGCTGGTAAATACACCGTGCAAGATGTAGATATTTTAGGTCATCTTGTCCAGCTTTAATTGTTAGAGTAATCCACATTTGCATAGTTTAAGTCGAGTGATTGAATGTTGGTCGAGTATGATATATTTTCAGATATAGCGCTGCTAGGCTTTGGGGGGCATTTTCAGAAAAGCTAGACCAATTGTCTTTTGAGTCTGCATTAATTTCTGTTATTTCCTTTTCCAATTAATTCGTTCAGGATGCGGTGTGTATAAAGGATACCAGTGTGTCAATTTGTGACTGACACTGTAAATATTTTTGTTATTCCTGTATCGTAAATATACACACTCATTACAGTCTGATGGCTGTGGCTATTGTAAATGGCTGTACATTCAAATGTATGTTGAAATAAAAGTGGAGTTTATGAATTAAACGGCAGTGTAATTTCCCAGCCTTGGATTTTACCCTTGTGAGATGTTCACCGCTAATTCACTGCCATGTCTAAACCCTGTCCTGGGAGCTCCTTTCACGTTCGCCGGTAGGATTTCAGTGGCACCATTTAAAAGGTCTCGCTTCTAACCAGGCCACTTGGGCAGTTGAACCCTAAGGAGTGGCCGTAATTGTGGCATGTGATAAACTCGGCGCTTAATCCCAGCAAGAGGATTATGGTCTGAAAGAGGCGTCTGCATCTGCAGGGGAGCCATAATGAGCATGTGCTTCCATTCACACACCGCTAATTGCCCACGGAACGCACAGCCCTTGTGCGCGTTTATAATTAATACGCCTGTTTTAAACCTGATCAGATACTTGTGTGTTTAATGCGTTTATCTCACGGTACACAAGTGCACTTAAGTGTTGCCAAAAGGGATCGCATCTGACATAACACAATCTAAGAGGCGGTCGGATCTGTTGGAAGCAGGCAGATTTTCATTGCTGCCTCATGGCACGCAGTAAGGGGATGGTGCAGCTTTTTAACCTCATGCCTGATTACAGCGCATTTTGGATTTATAGCGCATCTTAACGCCACCATCTCAGAAAAGGTATGCGTATATTCTAGATAGAGGATAAGCAAAGGAACAAAGGGAGGTCTTGGACCTAAATTTGAACTGAGGATGAGAATCGACAACACTGATAACTGGGGGGGGGAAAGCGTTTCCAGAGTGGGGGCAGCAGAGGAGAATAAGCGTACTCGGCAAAGTTTGATTAAAAAAAAACATCCTTTGTCCATCGCGGCGGGGTTATGTGCCATTGCTTTTTGCCTCCACTTGGGGTGAGGAGTTTTGCGTGTTGCACGCATCTTGGCTGGCAGTGTAGGGCCACTACGGGCAGACCCTCTGCGCCCCAGGCAGCCCCGGCAGCCGTGAGTGGTGCACTCGCCGCAGCTGTCGGCGTGCAAATCGGCGGCGTGCGTCTCGAGGCGTAAGGGCGGCAGGGGGCGTGCGCCGTCACGCCGTCCAGCAGGGCCCGCACGGCGTGCTGGAGAGAAACCACCGCATGGGTTACATAACGCGGCGTGTTGCGTGGATGTTCACGATCTGCGAGGTTTCGAGTGTCGCGCCTGCGGCGCGGATGATGGACGGCCAATGCACCAGGAACAGGAATAGCTGAAAGAGGTTGCAGTCGAGCCTCTTTCTGTGCCTGCTGTTTGCTCGGTAGACTTCAGGCCCTGCCCCCCCCCCCCGCAGTTCAGACCGCTGAACGTGGCCCGTTGAAAGGATTTGGTTCGTCCGGCCAAGTTGGCCAACTTTTGTCAAATGTTCTTCCAAAACACACCCAAGCCACTGTTGACAGTATTTCTTTGGAGAAAATTGTTTAGGTTAGTGGCAACCCGAGGTTTTAATGGGTGCTTTTTAATTTTCCGAGGTGGTTAGGATTGGCCCTTGCAATGTGAATTTTTTTTTTAGATGCTATCGCATAGATAGTGATTCCAAATTAGTTGTGAAAGAAGGGTTGGTACAACCCTTTTAGCAGGCGTATGTGTCGCTGTACTTTACAACAGCTGTGCAAGCAGTATTGTTGATTTTAGACCAAAGATAGCGCTGGGAGGAATCGATTGGTGTAGATCAATTGGCCTTCATTTTAATGCACAGCGGCTAAAATTACCAAAGTTACTTTGTGGCTTTAGCACGAGTGCTGCCAACCAACCAGGTCCAACGTCAAGCTATGCCTTTTTAACTTTAATCCGAGGAGTGCTCAATAAACAGTGAGGGCAACACATTTTCCCATGAAGTTTTAAGTTTAGATTTATATTTCACTCCACTGCATCTTTTTTTTCAAACATACATTGATGTATTCATGAGCTTTTTTTGTAATTCAAAAACCGCGCAGCTAAGATCTTGACAATCTGTTTTATAGCTCTGGTTATGTCGGGGCACAGCGTGGTTTTTAGGTGTTTGCCTTTTGGCCTCTTGCCTCAGCCGAGGCGCAACGGGAACGCGTAACAATGTTTGAGTCGCTTCTGCCAAGAGTCGCCTTAGTTTGTGGTTTAAGCCATCGTCTCGTTAATGGGTCACATGGGTGGGCGTAGCAGCCTTCAAGGCTAAAATAGCGCGGAGGCGCTTGGCGTGAGCGCTGCAGTCCTGGACAATTCCCCCCGCCGCTGGTTCGCTACCCGGGAAAGATCCTCGCGATCGATATGCGCGCATAGGGCGTTCAGCGTTGGAAGACCGACTGCCTGCATCACGGCGTGCGTCCCCCACACGCGTCCCACACCGCGTGCCATCCACACGCCCCGCCGGTGGATTATGCCTCCCGCTCTCTTGTCCTTTTCTTCAGCCGCGACACGCCAGCCCTCATGGCCGGAGGGGATGAAGAGGATGGTACATGCACACACCCTTTTTTTACAGTTAGGCTTTAGAGACAAATTGATGCAAAGTAAATCTAGCGTATAGAATTTTGTGTGTGTTTTTTTTTGTGCGCTATGACCGCAGCTGTTTTTTTATGGCCCTTGAGGCTTCGTTGCTATAGATGCATGACGTGAGATGCTTTAGCTGACATAAACACTGCTTGCAATTTAAGATCTTTTGATGTCCACACCGGGGTTTTGCATTACTGTTGACTGCGTTGGTCCATTGAGGCATTAATCAAGTTAGTGTCATTTACTGAATACGTAGCAGTCTTATTTCCGTCTGACTTGTCTCTTGTTTTCTGTGAGCTGTCTCTTGACAAACGGACTTGGGTCATGCTCCATCTACACAGTGCATGCAGGTGCGCGCATGTACACACACTTGCCAGTGGAAGGCAGTTCTTGAACTCGATCGGACACATTGTCATTTCGTTAGCACTTGCCTAGTGTGTGATGTGCGAGCAAGAATGCCTTTTTTTTGCAGAACCATAAACAAACAGGCGTGTAGGTACGGCCACATTGGCGTGGCAAGCCGATGTCATTGCCAGCGAGTAGCGTGTATCCTTGGTGGGTGCCGAGGTAATCTCATTGTAGCCGCACTTACTGCGCCGCGTGTTGTGGTGCTGTGAAACTAAAGCATAGCTCGGTGTGGAAGTGCCCCCCCCGAACCCCGCCTCTCCGAACCTCGCCATGAACCTTCGTAGGACATCAACAGCGATCACTACCGAGAGGAGATGAGCCACAAGCAAGAGCGGACGTGTTTGTGTGATGCTGTAGTTGGTTATATGCGTGGTTTGATTAAAACTCTTAAGCTGGGCCCTATGCCAGCACGCAAAGAGCGTTTATACGTAACATGCTATCAGGGTGGGTGCATGTCGCTTGATCGGCTTTTTGTAAGGGATGGCCAGTTCCAAGAACGTGTGAAGCCATTAACAGCAGATACTAGTAAATAATCACTTTACTAAATTAAAACACATGATCGAGTAGTTTTTCCAAAATAGAGGTTTTTGGGTTAGATCGCGTAAATATATAAATGTGTCGTTAAAACCCGCCACCGTTCCTTATATAGAGGCGTAGATGCATCACATTGTTGCATTGGTGAGACGTTAACTACCTTGCCTGGTTTGGAGGAGGCCTTAGGTTCAATCCCGACGCCGGTATATTTAGAGTTTGTTCTCCCCATGGTCACGTGGATTTTTCTCCGGGTCCTACGGTTTTTTTCCCTCCACATTTAGAGACATATGTTGAGAATATGTGGCTGCTATAAATGTCCACATGATAAGCCACTACTTTGAGCCATCTTAACTATTATTTGTGGCCAGGTTGCTTCTGAAAAAGAGCTGTATAGCTCAGTGTGCCTTACCTGGTAAAATAAAATAGTTTTAAGTGGGCTTGGGTTGGACACGTTACCAGAAGGGATTGGGGTCGGTGGTTGAAACTTTGGCTATGATTCCGCAGTTAGGAGAGAATTTGCCCAAGAAGACAGCGACCGTGGAGATGGAGCAATGCAATCTGCTCGTGCAGGTGCTTGATGGATTGTTGCCTTTGTGACAGCATGAGAGATGCCGACGGTTCGGGGAAGCCTCCATCAAGCAGTGGATAGATCATGGCTGGCGATGGTTGTGGGGGCCCGGTCGGATAATCGTTGGCTCTTTGCACGTTCAGGTGTGTTGGACCTGTGTAAGGCTTACGTGTGCGCGTGACCGTCCACAGTCACTTGAGCATCTCGTTAATAATTATCATTAATAATTAATGGTCAGCACTACTGACTCCCACAGCCATGGTTCGCTGTCTTTTAAATTCACTTAGAGCGGCGTTGCCGTGCCAGACGGTGGCAGAGCGCTTGTGGTACCCACTCACGGCTGTCCAATGAGCTCGGTGTTCCCACCGCGAGGTATTTTTTGCAGGACGGTAGCTCCGTCAGCTGATGCGTCGCATGCATTGAGCAGCAGAGTCAGCTGTCACACTCCCTGCTGCATCTGACTGTGCATGAGTGGCGATTCAGTTTTTTTTATTTGAAGGCAGATCTTGTTGCTGTGTTGGTTTACAGTTACCGTACTTTGTAAAGTCCCCGTGGCTCTGTAAGTGTGTCGTACATGCGCTATGTACATCCCTTTGTTACTCCACTGTTGTATGATGGCCTCCCCATGCCATGCGGGTTCATGGTGGTTATTTGACCATACTTCGCCACACTGGTCAATGCTTGTTGGATTGATTTTGTATTATCTTTTGAATGTTGAACAGCCATTGTTGTTCGTTATCTACAGTACAAATATTTCTTTATTTTCCAATTGCATGACAGTGGTTCGTGTGCAGCTGGCAATCGCAAGGTTATGAGACTCAGCCCTTCATCGATATATAACGTCTGTTTTTCTTTTTGGGAGGTAAACAGCAGTTATCCAATCGAGAGACTGCCAGCTGCCATGGGAATGTGGAATTACCACCTCGCACTCAGGCCTGTAAACAGGATATGTGTCCCACCCCATGCTTGTATAATTTGAGAACTACTTGTACGTTTTATGAAATAATTTTTCACATGTCCAGGGGTGCCTGCCTTTTTCCAGGTATAAGTTATTAATCGATTGCAAATTAACATCCGTTTGTTAGCATATACTCTTAAACTATTTATAATTTGATTTGAAGCTTTCTTGACTGCAGGAATTAATACTCTGGTTCTTTTGGTAAAGTCGCGTAGATATAAAAATATCTAATAGATCACGACGTTTCGATAGCAACACAAGCCATCTTCTTCAGGTGAAACAATACAGCAGGCGGACTGCTCAGGCAGGAGGAAATGTATCGAGAGAGCTACTGCAACCAGAGGTCTTATACGTATGTGATGGGTACAACCTACGTGTAAGTGGGTGGGGCTAGGGATGGAATTTGCAAGGAAATGTAAGGCTAGCAAACGTTGATCAACCAGGTGTAGTGCTAACTGTTGTGTTGGCCGACTCTCTGAGTTGCATTACATTTCTAAGTTTACTAAGTTTGATATCTTTTTCTCTTTATCACCTTGTTCCCTTTGTAAATATCATTAGCTGACGTTTACTAGCCTTACATTTACTTGCAAATTCCATCCATAGCCCCGCCCACTTACCCTTGGGTTGTATCCACCACAAATGTATATAACCTCCGGTTACAGTAGCTCTCTCGCTACATTTCCTCCTGCCTCAGCAGTCCGCCTGCTGTATTGTTTCACCTGAAGACGATGGCTTGTGTTGCTATCGAAACGTCGTGATCTATTAGCTATTTTTCTATCTACGTGACTTTACCGAAAGGACCAAAGAGTATTTATATTTCACCAGGTAAGGCCCACTGAGCTAAATAGCCCTCTTTCAGAAGTGACCTGGCCACAAAGGATAGCTCAACGAAGTTGCTTATCACATGGAAATGTATAAATACTTGAAATGCATGTTTATAAATGTGGAGGGGAAAACCAAATCACCCGGAGTGAGAAAAAAAACGTGCGACCACGGGGAGAGAGAAATGCAGAAACTTCAAGTCTACAGCCTTCAGGGTCGAGATCGAAGCCACGACCTCCTGCATACCAGGCGAGGGAGTTAACATCTTACCATGAGGCGAGTGAGTCGCGCCGATTGTCCCACAGCGAGCGGGAAGCGCCGTCCGCACTTCGCTAAATGGGTTGCGCACGGCTTGGCCGCTGTCCGTCTTCTCAATGCTGCGCCAGCAGGAAGCAATTGCCTCCTCCCTCCATCTCCCGGCTAAATTGAGCGCTGGAAACACAAGAGTCTGACTCGTCCTCAAACGCGTGGGCACGGCGGTCTGGGCGCGCAGTGGCTGTCGTGGCACCCACCCGCCGATATCCAAACTCAGTAGCGCACGCTGCAGGGAGCCAACTGGTGCAAGGTTTGTCTGAGCTGGTTCTGGTCCTGGTCCATACGCAAAGGGCCGCACCAGCCACACCACCATGCCCAGATATAGCTCTCACCTCCGCACTTTCAAAAGGTCAGATAGGCTACTTGGTTTCACAGGCAGGGATCGTACCGCCTAGGGTTCCTCTAAAGTAATTGGACGAAGTGGCAGAATTTCCTCTTTGTTGTTGTGGGAGATGCCCGCACGTGTATGCACCCCCACGTGCAAACACACTGCTGGGGAGTGTACATTGGTCGGCCTCTGCCCTGTGTTTGGGCAAGCACGCGAATCTGTTGACAAACCCGTGGTGGCGGTATTCACTTGCGCCAACTCGATCGGGTTCACGGGCCGCCAGGCCGGACCGACGCACTTCGTGAACAGCAAATGTTAATAGCACATGGGGAAGGGGGTGGGGGGGAACGGATAGACAAATTAACTGGAAGGGAGGGAGCAACTGTACCAGCTCCGTGTGTAAGATTCCTCGTCGGGCATGGCACTGCTTCAGGCAAACACACACACGCGCAGAATTCCTGATACTGCCCCGCCGTTTATGCATGCATCACCCAAGCAGTCCGGTTACATTCCCAAACAAGGGCACAACCCCCCTGTCCTCATAGGAGTGGGGGCCAAAAACATATCCCACAATGCATTGCCCCTCTTCTCCGCCCCTCTGCCGCGTGACCAAGAGTGCCGCCGCGCTGGTGCTGGCCAACTCGACCTTGCGCTGCAGTTATTTTTGGAAGCCAGCTTCTCTCTTTCGTGTCGCCATTAGTCGTAAGTTTTTGGTGGTGAGTTGTGACAAGTGTCGTCCGATGAATTGCCGAAGCCTTCGTTAGCCTTGTCGGGGTGCAGCGTTTGCGAGTGCCGTCTGAGGTTAATGAGCCCATTCCGGTGGCTGTGTTCTGCAAACACTGTGGCTGCCCAGCTCAAGGGGGACACAGCCATCTCATGTTGGAATCAATGTAAATACATCTGCGAGGTCAGTTTAAAAATATCCATAGTTATGGAGATAATGAGAATGAAGTTTCCTGGCCCCCACGGGCATTCAAGGTGGGCTTCTCTGTTGGGGTTGTGCAGAGTTGGCCAGGTGCCCTCTGGCAGCCAATGACATGTCCAAGGACTAAGCAATGATAAGATCCTGGGTTCGAGTCTGGGCAACCAGCCGCGATTAAACCGGCTTCTGGCTCTGCCGTGAGTTGATCGTTACAGCCAGGTCCGCAATGACAGATTGAAAGAAAGTGCTTTACATTCGTTTACACCGAGTTAAACATTGCGATTGAATTGCTTTGCAATGAAACACATCAGTGCAGATATTCCTGGGTCTTTCGGTAAAGTCACGTAGATAAGTTCAAAGAAAATTATCAAAAATAACAGAAAACTACGACGTTTCGATCGCAACGCAAGCTTGCATTAAGATCGAAACGTCATTTTCTATTGTTTTTTATTATTTGCTTTGAACCTATCTACGTGACTTTACTGAAAGACCCAAGAATATGAATTCCTGCAGTCACGAAAGCTTTGAGTCAACATCAGTGCAGACCAAATAAAAGGTGTGTGCCCCTGAGTGTGGTTAAGGAGCCTCATCTTGTGGGCCCGTGCCTTTGGACACAAAGCCGTGCACGGCTTGCTGTTCTCATTTGTATCGTCGCATAACGTGACGCCGATAACAGCGCAGTTTTAACATAAATGGATGGAGGACAGAATAACGCCCTCCCCCCCCCCCCCCGCTCGTGAGCGCCTGGATAGATCGTTGGCAAGGTAATGATCCCTCGCGTTATTTCCCTTGGCTGAGAATGTGGCTTCTTGTGGCTCCACGCCTCGGAGGTGGGGTGGGTGTGTGTATTGTGCTCTGTGTGGCCGTGATGAGGGGGTGCTGGACTGGGCGTGGAGCTGTGCCCTCTGTGATATGCGGCCCCTGGCCCTGTTTGTTTGCATCAGACTAGGGGCAGGTCGAAGTGTGTTGTGTACAGTGTCTTTGAGTTGCGGTTGAATTTCGATGCTTCGTGCATGTTATGTATGTTGGAACTGCTTTCGCACCGTACGTAGCCAACCGTTCCAATCGGTGGTGCGGGGGAACGATGATGAAGTCCTGCCAAAGCCTTTGCCCACTTTCACTGGCTTGTGATGCAAGTCCATCTAGTTCCTGGATACGAGCTTTATTCTCGCTTCATTCAGTGGATCTTTATCAATACAACCAGTAAACAGCTGTGCAGAGAGAGTGACGGTACACAAAATGACGGGTCATCATTAACCCTCTGGACATTCTGTGCATATTTGTGTAAAAAAAAAGTGTGCTATTAGCTAAGAATTCGTCTGCTCTCTGTATTTTGTTGAACTTTGTATTGCCTCTTGGCCTGCCGATACCATAACTAGGTATATATAACGATTCGGCTCCTTTCCTTTAATCTATGTAGTTTTACAAATTGTCAATTTCTCTACCATGATGGTGAATGCAGTGGCCTTTTTTAGGCTGCAGGGGGTCACGTGAACATTTCAACTTACTGTAAAAAAACACATCTGTTCCTACATGCTCAATTTGATACACGTATCATGTGTTGTTAGATTAGTAGTCGATTAAAAACGAATAGAGTCATTGCTACGTTGGTCAGTGGGGGGATCCTAAACTGAGAATGTGGCCCAAGACCGGTTCAGATATCACTCGCCACCGCTGTCAGCCATGCCCGAAATTCTAACTCGGGATGCCAGGTTCATCATGGATTGCGCTAACCACGACTATGACACCATTTCATTTCACCCAATATTTACACGTAATTTATGTAATGGAATTAATCGGGTTTTGCGTCTGTGATTTTACGTGCGTGAGTGCAATCATCGATAATGAATGGATTAATTAATTAAATGCCGACCAAATACCGGAGCGCGTGTTTAAACGGCGTTGGAGCGGCATGGAGCGCGGCTGTGAGCCCAGCTGTGTACCATGTGTGTTTCTGTGCGCGCTGCAGGTAACGTTCCCCGAGCCAAAGTCATTAAGGTCGCAAAGCCGCAGCCAAAGAAGTTAAACAAGGTGAGACCCCGAGACTCGTGTGCGGTCGTTTGTTGAATTCGCAGGCTCGTCAATACGCCTGTAGAAACTTTTTTATGTTTGGGGAAATATCGTGGGAAATTATTGTCAAGGTTACTTGACGTCTCTTGGCTTGTAAAGCACACGGTTGTTTACTGTGGAAATTTGCGATGTGTCACGTCAAGTCTTTTTTTTGCAGGCGAGCGATTTTAGCGACATTACAAATTGGCCGACACCGGGAGAGATTGCGAATCGAGAGGTAAGTTTATAAGCAAAACACTAAAACAATCCTTCATGTCATATTTAAGATCGCAAGCGTTTTGCCTTGTATCGGTATCACCTTGAACGTATCACTAAACACAAGCTGTATAAAGAAACAAAAATAGAAGGCTTTCCCTCCCACCTGCAATCGGCTCTTCCCCCCTTCATGATCAGCCACGTGCCTCCCTCTCCACCCAAGAGTCTGTAACCCACGGGTCTACCCATGCCAACACTTGCAAATAACTCATCCCCAACCTATCCCAGTTTATTTGTCTCCTCACTACTTCAATGTCCCTGATGTAACCAACTTGCTATGCCCTTGAACTAAAATCTAAAGGAAATGGTATTGGTTTGTTGAACATGTTTGAACATGCTTGGTAAGTGTGGCATTAACTCCCAATTTTGTGGACTTTCTGGGTCATCCGCTCCACATCTCCTCCACAGTCTTTCACATCGTGGTTCACCACTACGAAGCACTTGTTTCTAGGCCTGCCTCTTTGTCTCCACCCTGGTGCTTCCACGTCCATCATCTTTCTTTTCCAACGTGGTTTTCGTCTCCCTAGATGTCCTAGCCACCGGGCTCTTATCCAGTGGACCGTATGATGCAAGCGAGTGACACATTGCAGATCTTCGCGTTAACCTGGTTGGCCACGCGTCTCTTCCACGTTGCAGACCTCGACCCACTCGCCCAACTCGAGAAAAACCGCCGTCCGACGCGAGAAGGACCGGGAGAAGGAAGGGGAGAACGAGGTGGAAGAGGAGGAGGAGGAAGAGGCGGTGACGAGGAGGAGGAAGGACGCCACAGAGGAGGACGTGGACGACGAGAAGGACAGCGAGAGCAAGGAGAACCGCAGCGGCGGGCGCGCCAGCCCGCTGGAGAACGGCACGGACGCCAGCTCCCCACAGCCCAAGAAGAGAGGTGGGCACTGATGCGCGCGTAGATCTTACTCGAGGGTCGAGCACCAGGACGGCAGCAGCAGGGTCACTCCGTTGAGAGGTTCACAATCGGGATAGTTGACCAGTCATAAACAAGTCATCCTGAATGTGGTCCCAACAACGAGAGTTGTCCAGTGAGGTGATTCAATGTCGCTGGACAACGTCTTCAACGTTGCAACTTGAAGGAGACGTATTGGGGAAACGTAGTTGGGTCCAAGAGCAGTCATCGCAGTTTGCATTTAAATAATTTTCATTCAACAAATATTACGTGGCAAACATTTATCGTTACATTTAGTTGAAGGATTTACATTCAAACATAAACCAGCTTAAACAAATTGTGAGCTGTGTAGGGTTTAAATAATTCATGTGCATCTCTTGGAGAATTTCACACGTGTTTGAGAAGAAGCGTGGATATCTTATTCCACTTTTATTGCAACCATCCAGTTAAATTAAAGTATGCAAAGAGTTTTCCATCACTGAGCTGCAATGGCTTGGGCCAAGAGCCACTTGAGAATGGAATAGCGGTTATGTAATGTATTCCCCTTGGTCACAATTACATCTTAAGGACATCGCAGAATTTAAATCCAAAAGTCACAAGTCGGCAACCCCTAATGAACCTGTAAAAAAGCGTCTCGGAGAGGATGGGGGAGGTGCATTGACGCAGATAAGAGGTGATCAGATAGTTATCCGATTATAATCGGTGAATTAACATTTTTCCACACATTACTTAATTATCAAAGCTTTGGATTGTGATTTGACGCATCGCCATTGCAGTGGGACAAACACTTGAGATTGTCTCCTGCTCTCATCCCTGGGTCAGACGTGCCCTGCATCGTGCCAATAATTGCACGGTGCACATCACCCGGCAGAGCTGCCAGCGCGGAACAAATAAAATAGCCGCTTGCGTGCTCCGCTCATCGATCGGCACGGGAAACGCGACAGCTGAGCTTGTAGAACATTAACGGGTTGAATTAGTTTTTTCCAGCGGGGCTGACTAACAGCTGTTAATTTCAGGGAGAGTGATCATCTAGGGTCATCTCTTGTCAAGGTGGTTTAGAAAAACTGACGTGTCTCTGCCGTCTCACAACCGTGGCCACGTATGCATAGGAAGGCTCCTGGGCACGCAGCGTCTTCTCCTTGTAATCCATTTGGATCGTTAAGAAGGGAAGGCTGAACAAAGAAACTTTTAAATCCATCAGTAACTTGATAACAATGATGGTGAAATAATCAGTATTTGAAACAAATAACAGTAATATAGTCCTGATGTAAAAAATATTGAAATTCAGCTGTCCATCAATAGGTTTCTTTGGCAAGTATCTGCAACCCACCGGTCCCTTAATTAAATACTTTTACTCACTTTCCAGGTCAGGTTACACCATTTCATTAAATAAAGGAATATTTTGTAAATGGAAATGAAATTTGAAGATTTTTGTGAGCGTTTCACGTCCTTGTGTATATTCACCGTTTGGTCCTTGAGTAAAAAGCAGAATGACGGACATACGTCTTTCACTATTTTGAGAGTGGTGTGGTCGTGTCCTAATTTTTTGGACGTTCCTCCCTGGCACCCCCACAGTGAGCAAGCAGAAGTGGGTACCACTGGCGCTGGATGGAGGAGGGAGCGACGGAGGCGGCCCCGAGAGGCCCAGCTCTCGCAGCAGTCTGAGGTCGTCGCAGCCGCCCGGCGGCCGCAGGACCGACGCCGTCAGAGGTAAGGCTTTCACCCGGCAGCGGATTGACAAAGCACTGCATACCATAGTTACATATTATTTTCAGGCACGTTACGGGATGGTAATTTAGAGCTGTGCATGCTTGGGTGATGCCCATTATCACGAGCGGGGATCTAACCCGGGTGGCTAGATATGGAGCTGTGAGGAGGGATGCCTGTAAAACAGCCCTGAGGACGATGTGGGAATAGTGTAGTGTGGGTCAAACAGATGTGGGTCGGCGTAAAGCTGTGTCATCGCATCGTGCATCAGAGCAATATGGGACAGCGAGATGAGTGATTAGAGCGTGGGTCCCAGTCATGTGAAACAGCTGTGTAGGAAAGAGTGGAGTGGGATGGGTAACAGAGTGGGTTGGGAAAGTGACGTTAGGGGAGAGAGGAGCATGGGATGAAGTGGGGTGTGTTGTCAGCACGGTGAGTTGTCACAGTGACGTGGGATTATGTGGCACGGCGGTGCGGGCTGTGTCGACACGCTGGGTTTGTGACACCCGCGCACCTGTCTCCAGGCTGGAGGCGCGAGGATCGTCGCGATGACCTGGACGACACGGCGAGCGTGCGCAGCGAGGGCGGAGGCACCCGCGGAGGTGGCTTCCGAGGCAGGGGTCGCGGCCGGGGGCGCGGTCGGGGACGCGGAGGAAGGGGCGGCCCCCGAGGTGCTTGCTCAGCATTGATCCATACCCCTTTCCACCATGGTCACAATTCGATTCGGCACTCTCTCCTTGTTTGTACCATCTGTTCTCTTTTGCTCTGTCACATTCGTCGCATTCGCTTACAGCTAACTTTAATTAATACTTGTTGACCATGTTGCGTCGCATTAGCGGTCACGTTATGTGCCGTTCATTCAGTTCAGTAACAGCCTTCAATTTGCATTAAATTTAAACTAAAATTTGTACGCGCACGTTAATGCGTACGTGGTCTGTATCATGAGCGTAAGAGTTAATTTAATCAATGCGTCGCTGCATATAATGTCCATAGAAATTAGCGCCGCTCCAATGCGTCGCTCCGTGTTGTCACTCCTCCGTCCTTTGCCGTGTGCTCTCTTTGAGTCCGTTTCGTGTGTCACTCGCTTCGCGATTCTCACTCCCCTTTCCCCCCGTTTTTTTCTCTCCCCCGGCTCCAGGCGGCCTCGATTTCCGATTCGGCCTCGGGGAGCGGGTGGGCGGCAGTGGCCCCGACGGATCTGGCTCAGCGCTGCTCGACTACAGTCCCCACCTCGTCTACTACTACGACGACGGCCACGGGCCGCAGATCTACACCGTGGAGGAGACGCTGCTCAAGGAGTACGTCAAGCGGCAGATGTAAGTCCCGGCCGCTGTGACGACACATGCGCTGCCAAGACCGGTTGGCTTGGGAGGTCGGCGGAGTTGGTGGATCACAGAGAAATAGAGCCACTGTATGTGGAGCCACCTTTCAGCTGTAGGGCATCGAAGTGGTGCCTGCAGCAGGAGGTACAAAAAGTAGGTTTTTAATATCTACACGTCTTTTTGAATATATATTCGTGAAGCTCACAAACCTGCTCAGCTGTTAGGTGGCCAGGAGATGGCGGTACAGCCAAGTGGAGGTTCGTCCAGTCGTGTGGTTGCTCTCCAGCTTATTCCCAAGTGAAAATTACTCAAAATGCAGTTTACCAATCAACTTGAGCGGTTCCTACTGAGTCACGTGACACATTTGAGGCTTTCTTAGGTAAATTGCTCTTTTATTATGGTTATTTCCCTTGATGATTTGTCCCTTTGGGTGCTGCTTTTTTGCATGCACGGTGTTAAGCCTGAGTCACACGTAGGCACTACATGTGGGCTACACGCTGCTCCCGTGCCTTTGTTGGGCTGCTCTCCCACTCACGCGCTGACCCCTGCTGACTCTGCTGCTGACCTCGTACGTTGGTGTGAGACTCCTTGACGCGCTGCTGCGACTGGTCCCGTGTAAATTGTTCGCCGCTTCTGCAGAGCATGCGACTCGCCACAGCTATCTTCACAGCCAAGTGAAAGAACCGATGCAACCGAACGGGGGAATTGTGTCGCAGAGAAAGCCCTTGACACCTGTGGTCTTTGTCGCCCATCGGTTGAGAACGGAGTTTTTTTTCACAGCTCCGTGTGATAGCTTCAGTAGGTTGCACAATTGCTTTGATTCTGGAAACAATTCGGTGCCGTTGCCAACACACATCGCACCTCCGATTAACATGGTTGGCTACGTACGGTGCGAAAGAAATTAAACATACATACAGCACTCTAAGTAACTGGGAATTAAGTGACAGGTTGTGCTAATTGCATTCACAGCAGAGTTGAAAACAGTGGTTGCTTGTGGTCATGACTGATAACCAGAAATTTAAATATAAATTAAGGGGTATTTGCATTGGCGCTGGTGCACAATCGAGACGTGTTATGTTAACCAGATTAGTTTAATGGACTACAAAGACTAGGTACAATCATATTTGAAATGCATTAGTCTTGTCCAGAATCTGATTGATCATAAGTATGTCGTCAATGGCATGCTGATAATGAACCAGAGTGGTTATTAATTTGGAGCTTTCACAATATATGTTCTGCCTTTTTTCAATCTATTTAGAGAAATTTTTTTTATCAAAACGGCTCAAATCTCGTTCCGTCTTTTTAATGCATGGTGCTGTTTCTTTTACAAAGATGCCTATTGTTTATCGATGTTCACCACAAATAACTGTAAACAGTCATTTCCTTGTAGTACAGCCCCAACTACACAATGCCAGGGGCTGGTGTCACACTCAGCCAAGGCTCAGACGAGACGTTTTTGCCCAACACCGCTCGCTCTTCCACAACCGGCTTGATGCCTGCACTGACCATTCATCACCACCTTTCTTTCACCAGAGAGTACTACTTCAGCGTGGAGAACCTGGAGAGGGACTTTTTCCTGCGCCGCAAGATGGACCAGGAGGGCTTCCTGCCGGTGTCGCTCATCGCCGGCTTTCACCGCGTGCAGACGCTCACCACCGATGAGCACCTCATCATGGAGGTACAGGCAGGCTGGCGAGCGGTGGGTGGGCCAGTCAGTGACTGGGTGGGTGAATTGTTATTTTTTTACGTTTTTATTACAGCTCAGCGTGAGCCTGATACAAAGCGCCGGTCACCGAACAAAGAGGGGAACAGAAATGCCATAAACAGCAGCCCGAGTTCAACGCGACAGGGCCGAGTGTGAAGGGGTAAAACTGGGCTCGCTGCCCCAACCAGGTGGGAACCACGAGTGGGGGGAGATGACGGTTTTAAGGGTCCGTGAACTGTCAAGCGAGTGAGCAGAGAAAGTTATTGGATCGGCAGGCATGTGGGTAGGTGCGTATGAATAAGTGAATGAACAATTGTGTTGTGGGTGGGCATATGGGCAGGCAAGTGAGTTATACGCGTGGGTAGATGGGTGTGTTAATGGGTGGGCAGGCCGGTGGACCAGTAGGTGGGTAAGGTAGGTGGTTAAGAGGGTATCTGAGTGAGGTAGCTCTATGAATATGAATACCCTCCGTTTAGTGTAATTAGTTATTTTTATTTCAGTGCAATATCATGTAGGTGCGAGTTTTCTTTAGCTCTGTAAAGATGCACGGCTTCCAGATTTAAGGTCATGAGTTATTATTGGGTCAAAAAGTAATATTGGCAAATTCATCATCCTCACCATCCAGGGTTGGTAAAATGAGTACCACTTTAGTGAGCCTGCATGGCATAGTGAAATCGACAGTGGCTGCTGCTTGAGGTAGACTGGTCCTCACCATAGGAATGGGGAATGTCTTCTCAATCTTGGCTGCCGGCAGAGTTTCTCTCCATCGATGGAGGTCTCAATGGAGCATGGTGGGAATGGGGAACACTTGACCTTTGATGTTGAACGGTGACATCTGGGACCTCTGGATGGCTGGGTAAAAGCACACTGAATTGGAACGTTCTGCTCACGTGTCACTTAACGCAGTACAAATTTATGGAAATGTTCACTGTAAATTCGGGGCTTAATTTCAGCTCAACGACTGGGAAAATATTTTCGCATTCAGCACACAACATCCAGTATTCCTCTTGCCATGAGCCGTGGCTACAAAGCACCCGTCTACTCCAGTCTTATCAGCAATCTGCAAAACATTCACTGGGAAACTCGAGTCCAGCAGCGTATTGTGTATTTATGCCCCGCGCCTCTCTCTCTGCCAGGCGCTGCACGACAGCACGGAGGTAGAGGTGGTGAACATGAAGGTGCGACGTCGTGACGACCCCTTGCGCTGGCCCATCCCGGGGATGGCCCTGCTGTCTTCGCCCACGGGCTCCGTTACCCCCTCTGCCCCCATCAGCACCGACTTCACGAGGCTCCTCGACTGCCCCGAGTTTGTGCCGGGTGCCGTGAGCAGCAGCGTCAGCCCCCCCTCTGGTGAGCTGAGCCCTGTGTCAAAAATTATCTCTCTACACTGCGTGCACGTGTGTGTGTGTGTGGTCTCTTCGTAAAACTCTGTGTTACCATCTCTTTCTGTACAAATGAGAGAGTCTAGGAAGTAACCGTTGAGGATCGCCTGCAGCGTAATGCCGATTCATCCGGTGAGTGATTGTCCCCCCCTCCCCTTCCCGTGCATCCAGCAGGCTCAGTGAGCCGCTCCCTGGCATCGGACTGCGCCAAGGCGTCTGCTGCGGCGTCGTTAGCGGTGACGGCGGCGGCCACGGCCCGGGACGCTGGGCCCGGCGCCACCACGGACGACGCGGAGGAGGAGGAGGGCGAGGCACGGCCTCTGACGCGCGCCCTCTCGGCCAGCATGCCCGAGCTCGATTCGGAGCAGTGGGTGGAGGTGAAGAAGCGACATCGCGCTCCGCCCACCTCCAGGCCGACCAAGGTAACGTCGACACATTCATGAACCCGCACCGCCATGTTGACGTCATCCATTCATGCTTCACCTGCTGCGTAATAACGTCAAATCTGCAATCGTGTTGATTACAGTGTTCTGTGTCGTCGGAGGAGTCTGGAATTGCCTGCAGAAAATCCCACACGTGTCGAGGGAAAATGCTGAAGCTTGGCAACCTACTTGCCGTACTGCCATTTCTAAGCACTGCCTTGTTGCCCTACAGCGGGGTTTCTTAATGCTCATAATGGCGCTTCTCTCTTTGTCCTCCACCAGAACAGCCGTAATGTTTTTTTCATGAAACATTCCCATTGTCGATCTGTGAGAGAGCTGAGCGCTTCGTTATTCATACGAAATGGAGCTGGTAATAGAACGCATCGATGTTCTGTGTTGCGTTTTCCAACTGCTTCTGCCATTTGAGTCTCTGAAGTGTAAAGGGGATTGATGGCCAGGCTGAGACTATAAACTCGCCTTACTTGACAACTGTTCAATTACCGAATGGACGAAACTCAGATTCAAACCTATTAACTAAATTATTTTTTTTATTACCAGGTAAGGCCCACTGAGCTATATAGCTCTTTTTCAGAAGCGACCTGGCCACAAATGATAGCTCAAGGAAGTGGCTTATGACGTCGAAATGTATAGCAGCCTCTAAACTCTAAACGCATTTTTCTAAATGTGGATGGAAAAACTGGAGGACCCGGATAGAAATCCACAACCACGGGGAGAAAATGCAAATTCCAAATTTACAACAGGCGTCAAGAGTCGGAATCGAACCCATGATCGCCTGCATTCAATGCAAGGCGTGCTAACATTTGAGTCTTATGACGGTACCCCGGGGTCACCATAGTACCCCGGCTCTCGCATAATGTCCGTGATGCAGTCATTTTTAGTCTGTTGATGGTCAGCGATGCGCCAATCGACTCATCTCGACGAGCTGTACACGATGCACTATGGTGCGTACGAGCGTTCAGGGTTTCGGCGAAATCGTCCTCGCTGCGTTTCGACATCGCGGAGTATGGCACTGATTTCGGATCGATTGGTACCCCAGTCGCGGAGTTAAGTAGACCCCTGGAAAAAATAGTGCCCCAGAAATCAAATATTTAATTGCCTCAGCCATTTTCTATTATTTGATACTCCGGGGTACTGCCATAAGGATCATTTCACCAATGCAACAATATGATGTCTCTAATGTGCATTCAATGTGGAGGGAAAAACCCACAAATGTCAACGGTGCCAGGTCCCCCTCAGCCTCACGTGGTTTTGTCCTCCCGAGCCACCCAAGCATCCCACAAACTCGGAGCACTCGGCAGCAAATAAAAGGAAATGGGCCTCGTGCGTTCCCATAGGAGGAAACCCCGAAGGCGGCGGCGGCGGCGGCAGCTGCGGTGCCGGCGGTGGCGGTGGCTCCAGCGGAGGAGAAGGAGGAGCTGGACTTCATGTTCGACGAGGAGATGGAGGCAGCAGAGGCGGCGGCCGGCCGGCAGCACCGCTTCACGCCATTCGGCGCGGGCGGCTCGGACGACAGCAGCGACTCGGAGTACGAGATGGACGACCGCGACATCAACAAGCTCCTCATCGTGACGCAGACGCCGCCCTACATGCGGCGCCACCCGGGCGGGGACCGCACGGGCAACCACAGGTCGCGTGCCAAGTTCTCCTCCGAGCTCGTGAAGGTCATCAACGATGGCCTGTACTACTACGAGCAGGACCTCTGGCAGGAGGAGACCGACTACAGCGTCATCAAGGTTCGCTTGCTCTCCCTTTGTTCATTCAGCGAGAGCAAAGTTTTTTTTGCCAATTAAGGCTTGAACCTTCTTTTGACACAATTCGTTCAGTTTAAACGAGGATCGGACTTTGCCTTTATAAGGGGATTAAGTACCACGGCATCTCAGTTGAGAAGCAATTGGTTTAAATATCCCTTTTTCACTGGCACATCTGAAACAACCCAATGCGGGGCCCTCACTGGTTTTCCACTGGCTTATCCTGTGCCAAGATGAAAACATACCATATAAGATGCTGGCTTCGCAAGATATCTGAATCTGCCTCAGGACCCATGAAGGGCTTGGTCAGGGCTAAAGATGTGTTTATTATGCGTGACCTCTACACACTTCTCGTCTCGTTCAACTGCGTGTGACGTCAGCGGTACAGCCTCTGCTTCTGCAGTGGGAAATACCCTGGCACCCCCTGAGCCGTGACATGCTGGCTCCACACTATCCTTTCTACAGTAAAAAAAAAATATAAGAGAATCGGACCAATCTGTAACGCTATCGCTACGTCCCCGCACCCTAACATCGCCCCTTGTCCACCAACAGCAGGAAGTGGAAAACTTCAGGAAGCTGACCGTCATCACAAAAGAGCAGTTCGACATCATCTCTCCGGGGGTCGCCATCGACCTGACGCCCGAGCCTACGTCTGAAATCGCCTGCCCAGGTGAGCGAGCTTTCGGAAATTGAATGCTCACCTTTGCATCTGCCGGGCGGTCCCGCACCTCCGATTAGCACGGTTGGCTACGTACGGTGCGAAAGAAGTTCAACTTAGACGAGGTGACCGCTTGCAATTATTGTGCATTAAACCAACGTTGCATAGAGCTTCACGCTAGACGAGCCTCACTATTGTTTTTTTCCCACATTACATTTGAGCGATGGGTGTCATTAGAATACATTCTATTCCGAGTGCATTCAGCCAGAACTGCACCACCCTGTGTTTTGCAACTCGTTCTGAAAGAAACCCATCTCCTGACACTAGGGGGCGCACATTCTATATGCCCTGCAAAGCGTGTTGGTCGCTTGTCATATCCACCAAGATTAATTTTGGAATTAGCCTAATGAAGTGAAAAAATGAATTTGATGGAATACGTATTTTGTGACTAGACTCAAATCGTCGCCTCACCTTGCCACACTTGAGAATCGGCTTTTATCACGGCTCGCTACTTGGATTCAAACTCCGAATCTTAACAGTATCCGCCAAGTGCTCTGACCTTTGAGATACCCAAGCCCCCTCAAAACTTGCAATTCTTGAAGTGTCGATGGTAGCGAGAGAGACCAAATTTTGATTTAAAGCTTTTGTGACTGCAGGGATTCATATTCTTGGTTCTTTCGGTAAAGTCACGTAGAAGGGAAACAATAAAATAATAAAAATCTAAAACAATAAAATTCTCACGACGTTTCGACTGCAACACAAGCAATCATCAGGTGTGAAAACCACAGCAAGAAAATTTGAAAAAAGTGGCGTTTTTTTAACGTTAGCACCACGGAGAGCGATTTGGCAGTTATTCAGGTGGACGAGTCCATCTATGGTCGGAAAAGAGGAGGGGGGAGACAAAAATAATGGATGTGGTCTAAAAGCCACCGTAAGCGTGAACAATCAGTAGATCACTGTTATAATTCAGTAGGCTCACATGACATTGACTTCTGGCTACCATGAGAGATTCGTTCATGAGGCTATCCACATATACATATACAAACACAGACAATTTCAACCGAGAAGATGGATTCTGGCTTAGCAATCATTGGAAGGATTTGATAAACCATTTCGGGTCTTAATTGATTGTTCACGCGTACGGTGGCTTTCAGACTGCATCCATTATTTTCGTCTCCCCCCTCCTCTTTTCCGAACATAGATGGACTCGTCCATCTGAATAACTGCCAAATCGCTCTCCGTGGTGCTAACGTAAAAAACGCCACCTCAAATTTTCTTGCTGTGGTTTTCACACCTGATGATGATTGCTTGTGTTGCAGTCGAAACGTCGTGAGAATTGTATTGTTTTATATTTTTATTATTTTATTGTTTCCCTTCTACGTGACTTTACCGAAAGAACCAAGAATAAGAGACCAAATTGTAATACGGCCGCCTGTAGTTGTAGGATTGTCAGACTTCTGTCACATTTGAGTTCTAATTTTGTTGTTATGACCAACTGTGTCATTGGCTCACCATGCCCTCTCGCAATCAGCTTCCATTCCCTCTCCACCACTAGATAAATGCCACGGCTTTGAACCCAGGATCCTCGGCGGTGTCGTCTTGTTGCTCTGACCCCTGAGCTACCCCAGCCACCCCAGGCTCTGCCTTCAAACTCTTGCTGTTTGTGAATTCGACAGTGGCTGTTGGCGGGACGGACGAGTTGGCGAACCGGCTGTTCGGCTCGCCGGATCCTCCGGCGTCATGCCTGGCGCGCTCGCTCCCGGTGGCCGTACCCGAGGCGGCGCTGTGCCCGCGCACGCCGCGCACGCCCCGCACGCCGCGCACGCCACGCCTGCGCGACCCAACGCGCACCCCGCGCTTCTACCCGGTCATCAAGGAGGGCCGCGGCATTGACAACCAGGTGTGCGCCAAACCTGATACGCACTTGTATACATACATGGACAAAACCTGACCATAGAGAGATGCGAAGCCATTAAGAACCCAGAGTCCCTTTTGCACTTCTATGGCCGTCTGAAACGCTCTTCCTTTTGATATTAGGAAGCCACTGGAGCAATGCACTTTTAAATCTATTTTGAAAACATTTCTTTTGAACTGCTTTTGTGTTTAGTTTGTTATCTTTCCCCATACCTCTAATTAGTACGATTGGCTATGTACGTGTGAGAGAAGTTCTACATCCATGCATACATAAACGAATGTGTACACAAGTGTGCATGTGTATGTACACCTACGTAAGTACAGGTAGATGAGCTTCTTTTCTGGCCATGTAAAAATTCCGGTTAACTCGGTCTGACTAATGAGCCCCAAGATGGTTGAAGCCTCTATGGAGTTTTCTTGATTAAATAAATGCTGCTTCATAACATTCATCCAGGGAAAGAAAACTGAATCATTTGTGGAACGCAGGACATTAAAATGTTACATGGCAGGACTGTGATAGATTTTCTGGTGAATTGAGGTTTCTTTATCCATCGGTGAATTGATCAAGGATGATTATGATGAAGTAGATATGAAAAATAACAGGTATTTTAAACGTGTTCTAGAAATTCCAAAGTCACTCCCGTTTTAAGCATCAGCAGTCACATGTGGTGTATTTACAGCTTCTGGACGGAGGGAGGTAATCTACAGGACCCATCAGTAAATCTTTCTGGCAGCTGCAGTGTCAGGATTTATGCCGCGGCCACTGCCGCAGCTCGTATAAACGCTTGCGTGCATTAAAAGCCGTCGCTCAAATTCGCTAGCCAGCAACGATGTTGATTGTTTATTGGGGAGCATTGCCCTTCGCATTCACCCGTGCGTAAACCCCGGGTACGTCGCTCTCTGTAGGTAAGGACTTGACAAACCCTCATAAAGCAATGCGTTGACTTTCTACTCAAGAGAGCAGCGTGTGGTGCTGATCTTGGGTTCTGTGGTCTGCTCTTAAGATGGCAAGAAACCATGTGTTTTCCCTGGGTTTGGAAAACTGAGAATGTCAAATCGGCTGCCTTGGAACATGAATCAGCTCAGGAAATGAGCAGCTGCTCTTCTCTTAACAGACACACGCGCACCTAGACTATCTCCTGCTGCCCACCACGAGTTTTTAACGTAACTTCAATGTTATGGTTTTAGTTCTAGCTAAATGTTGTGAAGTTATGGCACCACTGCCAAAGTGGCACATCTGATCTTAACTTTAATTTGTCATTTTCCCATTGGTTATGTTTCAGTAAGCCTTGTGCCTCAAAGCCTTGGACGCACGGGGCTTAGGGATGTGTAACTTGGAGGTCTTTGTCATCCTTTGGTGGATGAAGGGCTCCCCATGCCGCTTTGCTCATTGGGGTTGGTGAAAGGGGGTGGCCCGAAACCATTTCAGATGCCACTCGCCACCATTGCTAGCCGTGACCGGGAATCAATCTCGCAGTGTGTTAACCAATGCGGTACCACTTCCCCCTCGGTTTGAACGCATGCATCTACGTGACAGAGGTACTTGACTTAACATCGCTCGACGATTTAACCCGGCCTGGCATCGACGGTCAACTCATAGCAGGCGGCTCTTGTGTCCAACCTCAGACACCTCGCAAGCAGAAGACGCGACACAGCAGCAACCCCCCGCTGGAGAGCCACGTGGGCTGGGTCCTGGACTCGCGCGAGCACCGGCCGCGTACCTCCTCTGTCAGGTGAGCCCACCAGGCCCCCCCCAGCCAACCCGGCCATCGTCATCATGAGACAGCAACAGCAGCAGCTAATAACAACATTGTATTTACGCCATTGTATTTACGCCATTCTTACAGCACAAGGCTATTGCGAAAGTGTTGTGCTTCGTGAACGTGTGCCTTCAGCCAATAGGGTGCGACGTTGCTGCAGTCTTACCCGATTAAGTAATTTGCATGTCACCTTAGACCGTGACACCGGCGCACACATGAAATACTTTTTTTCCCGAATAACATGGAGGAGAATTTTAGTGTCCACCGTGAAGCAGGCGTATTTATGGTTGATGCATCCAGGCTTGGACCGCGAACCTCTGCGAAAAGAGCTGCGAGCGCGTCACCGCACGCCACCCGCAGGTTCCTTGTAACAGAGACCGCTTGCCCCTCGTTGACAGCTCGAGCGCGAGCTTCCAGTCGGAGACGCCGTCGGTGGCCGGGAGCTACGGCTGCACGCCACAGTCGCTGCCCAAGTTCCAGCACCCGTCGCACCAGATGCTGAAGGAAAACGGCTTCACACAGCAGGTCTACCACAAGTACCACCGCAAGTGTCTGAGCGGTGAGCCGGCCCCGACGTTACTCACAATGACAGAACAGTTATCGCGGTGTCCCTTCCAACGTGTGTAGTCGGGGCAAGGGCCAGTCGCCACCTTGGTGTGTTCAGCACCACGCCTAGCTGCCCGTTGCCTACCCCCTGTGTTGATGTTTACACACCACATAAGATACCCATTTATGCATGCGTTGACAGAGTGGATGCCAAAAACCAGTTCGGATACCACTTGTCGCTGATGATATTTATGGCTGGGAATCGAACCCAGGTAGCTCAGATTGAAGGTGCAGTGCATCACTACTCCCCTCATACACACACATGCACAAACACAACAGTTGGGACTGCCCTCCAGAGAACACATTTCTGCGGAGGGAGCTGGTAGGAACGTTGGGTTGCTCGGTCAATGGCCAGGGTCAACGGCGGCGTGGTGTATTCCGCAAATATGCCCGCCTGTGAGGGCAGGCACAAGCCGGCGTTTGTAGGTTAAACGTTGAGTTTTATAAGGGCACCACGGGGTGACCAGCCCCTCCCCACCCAGCCCCACCCCAGCCCCTCCCCACCCAGCCCCTCCCCACCCAGCCCCACCCCTCCCATATTTGGATGCACGATGGACGGACGGACACAGTAATCCCCTGTGGGCTGGTGTAACCAGGAGGTTCATACCAGTATAACTTTCCCTAATCATTGTGGCTTTATCTTGATATTGGGGCTCCATTTAGTGGTGATGGTGATGATGGTTGTTGTGTGTTTGATTTTTCCTGGCACTGTAATGGTGGCAATGGGTGGTGATGGTCACGCATGGCAATTCCTGGCATCACCAATGATGGTGGTAGTGGGAATGCAATGAGAAGTCTGTGCTCATGATGTCACTGATCATGCCCATCGTCTGTACAGAGCGGAAGCGTCTAGGCGTGGGCCAGTCCCAGGAGATGAACACGCTCTTCCGCTTCTGGTCGTTCTTCCTGCGCGACCACTTCAACCGCCGCATGTACGACGAGTTCAAGCGGCTTGCGCTGGAGGACGGCGCCGAGGGCTACCGGTACGTGATCGCACACCTTGATAAATGTAAATGCTCTTTTTAATCTCGCAACTTTGTGTTCAAAGTTTTTAGTTATTACCACCTTGTGTACTGGCTACACTTCTTTGTACTAAAAAGGGCCATTGACTGCAAACTTCTTATCATGCAGTGTGAACAATAGCTAGATAGATACCCCATTAAAACGATCGCAAAATTATAAACTACATTTGAATTCAAAGCCTCTACGTATCTCCAATCAATCTTTATATATGTTGTAAGATGTGGAGCCATCGCTTCCACCTGATACATTCCCCTGTTGTAGGTATGTATGATGAACTTATTTTGCACCGTACGTAGCCAGCCGTACTAATCGGAGGTGCGGGTATAATCTAAGAGGCTAATTAGATTCAATGTAAGGTATCTTATAAATAGATCACCCTGTACAAGTTGCTTTGTCATACTTGAACGATGCTTGTTATTACATCCCAAAATACCTGGGGGTTGCAGCCATAATAGCAGAATTGATGTGTGTTTAGCAGTTGTGGACTGGAATGGTGATGTCGCCCCCACAGCTGCAAGAAGCGCAGCCATTCACCATTATGTTGAAAGAATCGGTTATTTTAAAATGCCTCCCCCGAATTGTGACAATTTATGAGTTTCCTTGGGGGTATGCATCGTTTTATTACTGTGATCGTATCAGAAAAGCCTCACCCACCACTAAACCCCCCTGCTCTATCCCTGGCTCCCTAGCTATGGGCTGGAGTGCCTCTTCAGGTTCTACAGTTACGGGCTGGAGAAGAGGTACAGACTCGACATCTTCAAGGACTTCCAGGAGGAGACCATCCGCGACTACGAAGCCGGTGAGCTGCACTCGCTCCCCTCCCGTGCATATGCTTGTGTGTGTGTGTAACAGCAGGGGAGTGGGAGTGCAGCGGTTAGCACGCTGCGCTACGAACCCGACGATCCGAGTTCGCTTCCCGCTCGTAGCCAACACCATTGACGATTTTCTGAACCGGCGCTAGGTCGACTCAGCCTTAAATGAGTACTTGGTGAGATGTTTAAAAACATCACTACTGGGGAGACAAAAGGTGGACAGGCTTGATTTTGGTCACCCACCCCTTTGTGTGTTGTGCTGGCCTTCATAGATGCTCGCTTAACAGCACTTGCCCCAAAAGTCTGAAGGCTATATGGGGGGGGGGGGGGGGGGGGTCTTTGTTAGTGTGTAAAAGTGGGGGGCTTTAATCTACCTGCTTCTCCAATATGGAAAACTCTCAATAGGATGGAATTGGCCAAACATCTCTCAGTGTTATTAAATAGTCTTGAAATTGATTGAGGTTTTTCTGGGTAAATACATTCATATTAATGTTATTACTCCATTTCCTTAACTGTTTTCCACATTTTGAGAGTTTTGAAGAATATCGGTAAGTCTTTAGTGAATTATAAATATATGCCGAGTGTTAAACTCCTATGCGCGTGCCCGCTGGCCAGGTGAGCTGTACGGGCTGGAGAAGTTCTGGGCCTTCCTCAAGTACTCGCACCAGAAGAACGCCGACCTCGACCCCAAGTTGCAGGAGCACCTAAGCAAATTCAAGCGGCTCGAAGACTTCCGCGTGGACGTGAGTCTTGTCGCTCCCGTGCGTGTGCGTGCACGGGCCCCCTCACCCTTGTGTTTAAAGACGGTCACCGCATCGCCCATTTTCAGATGCGCTTCTGCGGCCATCTGGTACGCTCTTCCATCCGATATTAGGAAGCTACTGGAGCTACGCACTTTTATGTCATCTACATTGAAAATGAATTTCTTTAGAACTGCTTTTTGTGTTTAGTTTGTTGTCATTCCGTTGCACCTCCGATTTGCATGGTTCTCGACGTACGGTGTGAAAGAAGTTCAACATACATAAATAAATATTCTTGTTAAGGGTCAACTTTCTCTATTTTAATGGGCTCAGAGTCCTTTCCAAAATGTTTTCAATGGCACATTTTCATTTTGTGAAGCTCTCCAGGTGGAATAGTGTAAGCTGGGGCACAGGAGGAGAGTTTCATGTTTTCGTATCGGCACAGCTGCTCGTGCTAGTTTCTTATTGTACTTGACTAATTGTTTCCACTTCGTGCGCATGTGTTTGCATGTTACCAAGTATATATGTATGCACGTGTGTGCGAACATCAGTGGCTTGTGATAAATGAACCGGTCCTCGATTTGAATTGAGTAGCTGGTCCAACACGTTAATCTCGGCACTGGGGGGGGGGGGAGACATGAGGTGACCGGCATGGCTCTGGCCACACCACTTGCCCAGTCTTCGTCGCCAACTACAATAGCGACCCCTTAACAGCCCTTGCCCCCCAACAGTCTGTTTAAGCCCGTGAGTGGGGTCTTTGTCTCTGTGTTTTGTGCACTTGTGTAGCCTCCGATGGGCGACCACCACGGTCAGGAAGGCGGCCGGCGCAGGCGCTACCCCTCAACCTCTTCTTCCTCCTCTCATCACGGTGGCCGTTCGGGCAGCCGGCACGATCAGAGGGATGCTGGGAAGGGGGCGGCAGCAGGTCATGCGTCACAGGTCAAAGCTCAGCAGCAACTGCAGCAGCAGCAGCAGCATGATGGAGCGGGCAGCAGCGGCAGCAGCAGCATGGCGGTGCCAACAAAGGTCCCGCAGCGAAAGTGAGCGTCGAAACGGCCGTTTAAGCCTCCACTCAACCACCGCTTCACACAAAGCTTTTCATCGTAGGGAGAGAAAAAAAAAGACACGTTTAGTTAAAAATCAACCGAAGCGACGCCTGCTCCAATGATCCAAAATGACAGTCGTGTGATGTCCACTCGTTCTCACGAGAACCGGTCACAAGAAGTTCGGGAAAAGCAAACAGTCTAATTTTGATCATGGAAACTATTGATTACCCAGCGAATGCAAGTGTCTTCACACAAAATAGGTAAAGATGAAATGCTTTGCTTATTAGATTCCCGCCTGGAAGGGTTTTACTTGAGTGTGACAAGCTTTGCCGTTTTATTAAAATGACATGGCACGTTCACGAAACCAAAAGTCACATGTGCCGCTTAGGCAGCATTAGAATGCAATGTTCGACAGACGACTTAGCTGCTATATGGATGGAGGCTTTAGCCAATCGTGTGTGAATACGGTTACTTGGAGGCATACCACAGCCAATCACAAGGGCCGTAATAAGTATTCTACATGTAATGATACAACTGCATTTAACAGCATGTGGCTGTGAAGACTCATGTGCGATTGGCTGCATGTTCTCTGTCGAAACATTGGCTTCTGTGTCGTATAGTTTAGGAAACTGTAATTATGGGGGCAAGTCCCATAAAAAATCTTAGCAAGTGAGAGTAATGTTCTTATGCGCAATTTCAAGACTTGGGAGAATTTGTTAACAGTTTACTAGTTTAGTACAGTTTTATGCAACACAGCAATGCTGAAATTAAGACTGAACACATTGTTTTACTTCTGAGAAGGATAAATTTTAAGTAAGTTATATATACGTATATACCCCCAATGCATCAGTTGAGATAATGGTAGCCCATAGGAGTTGCTTTTCTTTTTATTACGCCTTCAGAAGTAGTTTAGCAATTTTCGCAGCAAATTTGCTTTATCGTCATTTTCATGATGATGTAGCGAAAGTCTGCAATGAGGTGGCCAGAAAAAGGGCACTCTTGATTGATCAATCCACAGCCATTCTCACCACACCTCATCTCCAGCGTCACTGTCTTGTGAGTGGTGGCTGAAGCGGGGGGGGGGGGGGGGGGGCGGGCGGGCAGTGGTGGGGGAGTTCTTAACAAAAACGCATCAGGAGCCAGCGCACGTTCCTGCAACCACGAACTCCGTGGAAAGTATTATCGATAGCACGGCGCTTGCAAGAGCTTGCGCGGGCACCAATCGGCACAACGCGCGTCATGGAATTCTCACCTCGCTTGCACCCCCATCCACCAATGTCTGCCACGGTGTGTCCAGTCTTTTAAACGCTGGTGTCCGGTGTTCTCATTGTCCCGATATGGAGGGAGCGAGGCCCCCCCCCGCGATGGAATGAATGGTGTTTGATGCTAAGCACTTGCATTCTTCTTTTGTCATGCGGCTTTCTGCAGAGTAGCAGACATTTTAGGGGAGCAGCAAGTTTATATCTCGGTTCTTGAGCCAGTCCAGGGCCTCTGGGGTGAGGTGGATGGCGTCTTTTACCTCTGAACAAGCGGGAGACACGCGAGTTGATGAGGTGGTCTATTGTTTATATGCCTCCGCAGTCGGAGTGGGCTGCTTTCTAATCTCTCCCTTATGGAGGGGATAAGTGCAGCAATTGCATGAATTCTCCTGCAGAGGCGTGCTGGTTAAATGAATTAGCTCTAGTTGCTGTTGCCAAAACAACTTAAACAAAATGTGGTTTTGCAAAGTGTTAGTGTTATTTTTCCAGGTTTTACGGTATTTTCGCAGGTCGGCCCCAAAGATAGTAGACACCTGTGAATCAACGTACCAATGTTGGACAGCTATTATAACTAGACAGTAGAACGGTGATGCTTTATCAAGGGAAAAGAAAGTAGATTTTCATGTGGGGTGGTGTGCTTGAATTTCGGCTGTAGTTTTAAATGGCATCAGCTACTTCAACTTTTTCTAATTGCTGTTTGGCTCTGAGAGGAAAATGAAAATCCTTGTTAGAAAGGGCTCATGAAACAAAAATGCAAGCATGATGATGCGGTTTGTTCATCCCAACACTTGCACTACGGTCACATTTCAAAGCTTTTTTTTTTTGCCGTGGGAGGCTGCGACGGACAGAGAGGGGCCGTGCGATCCCGTGGCTTCTGGAAACTGAGAGTGGGGGGGGGGGGGGAAACCCCAAAAGCGATCGCGTCGAGTTGCCTTCAATCCGAGTGGTGCTGTGCGTCATTCCCGTTTACACTCGCGCCACCGACCGCTGTCGTTGGAGGCGGCCGGCGGCTCCCCCATTAATTCACAACCGCGAATTAAACCGCACCCCCACCCCCCCCCCCCCCCGCGTTTGCTGCTTTCCCCCACGTGCTTTCCAAGTCGATTGGCTTTTGCATCCCAATTGCGTAGGGTTAAATTAAATACACCCGCAGCATGTGCACAGACGATCGTGATACTTATCTTCCTCCCCCGACTGCGTGGAAGTGTCTGTGTGTGATCTGTGTTGGCCTTGCTCAGACTTAGTTCAATCGCGTTGCGGTAAATTAAAACACAAACGAGCGTATCTTTTTTTTATGTTAAATATGATTAGTTACCAAACTGGTAAGACAGTTATTCTGCATCAACAGTGCCTTTTATTCATCCTAAATGTTCCGCCGCCTCCTGCAAGCACGCCAGACCGTTTTGAACGCGATCGTTTTGTGTTCGGTGGGGCATCTGATTGCCAAGGCCCCAGACACTTGTGGAAGCGTTGAGCACCGTACACAGTGTGGCGAGCACGTGTGTGCATCGCCGCCGTGTTAGCCGTACGAATCCTGGGTGTTGCCAAGTCACGGCTGACTTATTTCGAACATTGTAGGTTCATTGTTTGAGTACAACTTTGTGTGAAATTAAACAAAAAAAGGATACAAATTTCGAAAGTATTTTTAAGTGTTTTACTTGGTAGCATATGTAGCGTGGTCATTAGTTTTCATTTTCTGCCCTACATAGACATCGAACTTCTGGTGGGATTTACGCTGACTTCTTCTGTTGCCGTTTGGTGCTTTCAAGTCACTGTGTATTGTGCTCAGAAGTGCAGGAAGGATGGGTTGAGGATTTTATCTGCCGATGCCTTGGTGTCAGACTTGGAGCTGACCTTTGTTCCACTGATGAAGCAACTTGGCTATGCTTGGTACATTTTTTTTTACCTCCGTTCATTATTTGTAACGGAAACATTCTATTTTAATTGTACATTCTCAAAAAAATTCAAAAAAGATATATATACGTACTGTAATTGATTAGCGTTTTATCAATAATGCTTTTTGACAATGTTGTATTATGTTAAGGCATACACGTAACCTTTAACTCGGCTTTTGCATGATTGTGTATGATTAAAACAAAGAAAGGTAGCCTGTTTATATATTATATATAACGTTTTAACAAAGGGAGCCGGAGGGATTTTGCTGAAAGTGTTTTTAATGTAGTGCATTTATTGTGAGTCATGCAATTAATTAGACCTCGTCTCAGTAAATGCCCCCGCGTGGGGTTGTTCTCGCACAATGACTGCTCCGTGCGTCGCACAATGACCACTCTGAGAGTCGGAAGTTATCTCTTAGTGGTCGTGCATTCAGAGGGTTGCGAATCCCTTCCCCCTTGTCCGAGACACTCGGCCACCCGCTGAGTTTAGTCCGAGGTTTCTTCCCCTGCAATTCAACCAAATTCTTAGTCGGCCCCACTTTGGCCATCCATCGGTGATTGCAACAAAAAATTCCGTTTAAATTAATTTTACTTTGAATTTAATGTAGTTTGACGCCCGCTCTGACAGTTTCATAAAGGCATATAGAGGCCCACGTATTTCACTGGACATCAGTTAAATGATGCCTGAGAAGGGATTAGTTGACACAAATAATTTCAGGGATCATGTCGGGCTTCTGTCTGTAGTTTGGATATGAAATTATTCAAAGTTCTTCACGCGGTGCCCGAGACATCAGTATCTCCAACTAGATACGTAATGCACAAATGTCCGTCCGTCACGCTCTATCTCCCACACAGTACGTTGTATGAATTTTTTTTTTTTATCCTGGCGAGGTTAATTCTGCCAAAATTGTCGTCTTTCACAATTCACATTTTGCTCCCGAAATTCAAAAAATATATATAACATCCAATACGAACCAAATTAGGAGCCAAAATCTTCCGGAAGAGTGACTCGTTTTGTTGGTTGTCGTCTGGATGTTGGGTTCCCCATTGGCTTACATTTAAATGTATTTCGCATGACGTCATCATCCCATTACACAACACCTTTGGCTTCACCGCGGTGACGTTCACCCTCCAGGGCTGTACGACGATGCGATGATGTCGCGCTGTCCAAGGAATCCTTACTCGACGTGTGCGTGTGGGCAAAGAAGCGGTGAAGTTTTATCCGGCACAAATGCGCGGGCAGTGCTACTTGGTTCATGATCCATGAAGGGTTTTTTTTTAGTCTAAACAATATAAAACACAAACATGCATTATTTGCTACACCCGTCGTGGGGGTTGGATGGACATGTGCGTCAAGTTACACATTGTGAAAACCGCCGTCTCCCTGTTCATTGCCTAACAACGCCTCGTTGCTGCTGGTTGGGTCAGAGTGCAAGATTTTGTTTCATGCAGCCACCGCTCTGTCTTCCAATTTCTACCAAAGACGCAAATGTTTCCTTCAAGCAGATGGCCGCCGTTACTGACGTGCTGTCGGCTCTGCTTTTTCATTTGACACCTCTCTTCCTAGTAAACCTGGAACGTTGGGTCAACGTTGGTTAGCGGTTAGAACCAGATACTAACGTTGGTCCACTGTTGTACGTTTACTCGGTTGATGCACTCTTCCATGGAGTGATTTAATTAGTGAATCGAAGTTCGATAGAGTTAATAGATAAATGGTTTAACGAGTTCATGCAAAAATCTTCGAATTAATATCAACGTGTAACTGCGCAGAGAAAGGAGTGTTTCATTTTAAAAGGACGATCTGGGAAACATGTAAAGTCACTTGGATGCATCTACATTCATAAGGTTGAATTAATCTTGATTTGAAGCTTTCGTGACTGCAGGAATCCATACTCTTTGGTTTTTTCGGTAAAGTCACGTAGGTAGAAAATACTAGATCACGACGTTTCGATCGCAACACAAGCAACCGTCATCAGGTGAGACCAACGCAGCAGGGGAAATGCTGACGAAGGAGAAAGCTGCTGCAACAACCTTTACCTTATATAACCTCTTGTTGCAGCAGTTCATTCTCCTTCGTCAGCATTTCCCCTGCTGTGTTGGCCTCACCTGATGACGGTTGCTTGTGTTGCGATCGAAACGTCGTTATCTATTAATTTCTACCTACGTGACTTTACCGAAAGAACCAAAGAGTGGTTGAATTAATGTATGGAAGTGTTTAATCAATCGAAGTGTGTGCTGTTCGGAGTGCCCTGCAGATTGCATCTTGCTGGTGGAGTGTGGAGCTTTATAGCCTGCACGCTTCGGGTTAAGTCTCGCCTAGAAACTAATGAGGTGGAAGGGCTGGGTTGGCAGTTGTATTGAACACAAGTGAAATACACTGCTGCATCTGATCACAGCTGGTTTTAGAGTTAAGGGGGTGTGTTAATGGGTGTGTTAATGGGATGGCGAATGTTCCTAGTTATCACTGTGCAATCAGTTAGCACAGGAGTGGGTTAATGTTGTACAGGATTAAATGAGTAGTGACTATCAGGTTAAATGGATGGCCAATGACAAAAAAAATTATCTTCTCTGACCACTGGAAAGAAACTATCTGTACATTGTTCACGGACACTTTTGTCCATTTATTTTTTTCCCTGAGGGGTCAGGCCTGGTTTTGGGTGACACTGGAAGAGGTTCATGGACTGAGAGGAGGTGGGGGGGTGACCTAATCTGGAGAGTTAGCCGCAGGGACAACAACACATTTCGGCCGCTCCTGGTTGGAGGTTTCTGGGTTTTTCGCTGTCCAGTATCAACCGCTGCAAGGGGGCTTCACGCTTGGCGTGCGACCACTTGCGTTTCCGTGTCATTGGATCCGTCTGTACTCTTTCCTTTGCAGGTTTCAGTCCCCCTCAACCTCGTTCCGTTCTCCTCTTCAACCTCACTTCTCCATCGCCCATTCTCTTTCTCTTCCCGCCCCTCCACTTCCTCCCATCCCTTCTGTAACCCCCAAATACCCTCTCTCGCGGTCACCCATTCTTCAGCTCTTTCCATCTAAATCATTCTTGCTTATATCGTTTTTTTATACTATGTTCAACCCCTCGAACAAAAGGTATTCTAGAAATATAACAAGTAAAATGGAGTTGGTGCCTCTGATTGGCAGCAGCGCTTTTTTTCAGTGCAGCAGTGGTCTGTGTAACGGCTTCGCTCATATCGTGATGCCACCATCCCAAGCCTGGAAACTCCAATATCGCAACACCATAACTTTGCTATTGACTGTTAACTCTGGAGTCGCAGGATAATTCTCAAAACAATTGAGAAGTATTGGCAATACTATGTTGCCCAATCAAGGGGTTGCCCCAGACAGGAGATGATACATTCTCGAAATTGTCACTGTTATATGTGGTTATACGCAATCTGTAATGTCATCACCTGTATCGTCCAGAACTCGTGGGGAGGCGGGTGGATGTTTGTGCGACTATTCTGAGGCTGGACGCGGTTTGCGACTTGCTTGCCCGTACGGGTTTTTGCGCATGGCGCTAACGACGCGCTCCACTTGAATTCACTGTCGTGTTCAGTTGGAGGATTTAAATGGCTTTTGTGCCCACGTTAGTTGCAATTTGGGGCGCCAATTGCCCAACTCGTCCAACATGAAGCCATCCCATCTCATTGCTTACCCCTCAGCCTCTCCACCCCTCTTCAAATGCAAATTGGTTCCACTCTCTTTTCAATGGCATGTGGCCGAGCAGTGTTTGTGTGAGAATGTACCATTTCATTTAGGGGAAGTTGGTGGGGGGGAGGGGCGTGCTTTGTGAAGCAAAAACAACTTGCATGGCTTACCCACTCCAGCCTCCACTAAAACTCACACTGTGACATTTGGCATCACGGTACTTTGACAACGGATTTTGAATGATATCCCGACATCACGCGTGGAGAATGGTCGAGGTTCCCGACGCGTTTTTCAAACAACTCAGCGGGGGGGGGGGGGGGGGCAATAACGGGTGTAAACGTTTGTAGCTTCAATCGGTGCAGCACTGCGTTTTAACTACTGTGTTCCCGGCAAGCGCCCACCCCGATTTTAACCCTCTAGAATCAACCAAACCCGTCACCGCTGCGGCCTCCTGGAACTAACCAATCGCCGACGGTGCCCCTTGCCGAAGGTCACAGTGCATGCGGGCTCCCACTAATTGGTGTCCGTGAAGGGGGGGCGGGCGAAGGTTAGAGGAGCGGAGCTTTCCATGTCGGCTTAGGTTCACTGAAGCAACAGAGCTTCCAATGGATGTTTTTTGGCTGTTTCAGGCATGAAACGTTAAAGGAAATTTCTTTAAAAAAAAGTTTTGCATTGATCTTTGTTGTTTACTACTGCCATGCATTTGAAATATTAAATTAATTCTGCCGTTTACTCATCTCTATAAAGCGATGCTTTTCTTTTTTCTGGATTGAGTGCTTTTTTTTGGTGGGATAAATGGTTTCTCTTATGGAAATGTCACCTTTTGAAATGTGTAATATTCACAATTGTCTTTGTTCGTGTTACTATGTTTAGCCTGGCTCGCATAGGTGTGTGATCATGTTCAGTAGTTAAGTGATTTTTTTTGGTAATTGTTTATATCCTTTTAAATGAGCATACAAAAAAAACAATAAAAACAAACTCAGCGTGAACGTTTGATTTCTTGTTTTTGAAAAGGTTGATTTGCTTAAAAGCCTCTGCAACTCACAGCACCTTGCATCTGATCCAAACTTAATTTCATTGCCCTCCTGGAGTCTAGTCAAGGGGGGGACCCCCCGATGGCAGCTTTTCCCCTTGCATATTCGCTCTAAAATATAATTTTATGTTTATTGAACTTAAGTTAGCCAAGATACTTGCATGATCAGAATATTATGCTGATTAACTTTACAGCCATTTGCAGATGTTTTACTGATGTTACACTAAAGGCGAAATTGGCAATTGCATAACACTAATCAAAATGACACTGCAGTCTTAAAACTTTAACACATTGGACTAAATCAGATTGACAAAAATGCCTCATTAAGATAGTATCATGGTTCAGTCTGTGCAAAGGAATGAACACCACTTGAAATGGCAAAACACGCGCACCAATTGTCTCATCGCTACAGTGGGAAGATATTGACGAGTGACGGCGAGATGATGGGTGCGGAATTCCAACCTGTAAGAAGCAGTTTGTGTGATGGAGGCAGTGCAGCAAGTAGGTTGCTCGAAGAGGCTTTTCTCTGGGTGTACTGTCTTCCTTCCACATGCAAATACGTGTGAATCTGCTAAACAGCCTAAGATTTACCATGATGTAAAATTACGATTTATAGACTTGGCATTCTGTTGGATTTATTGCTTCAACATTCGGTCTTGGGGTTTTCGGTTTACCATACTTCATGAAAGTCTGTGCGAGTTTGTAAAATGGGGCCGCAGGACCAAATCACTTGTCACCAATGACGATGTTCTGGATGCTAGCTGTGAGCTGGATATAATGTAAGTTACTGGGTTCATAGCTATATACAGAGGGAAATAAGTATTTGATCCCTTGCTGATTTTGTACGTTTGCCCACTGACAAATGATCAGTCTATAATTTTAATGGTAGGTTTATTTGAACAGTGAGAGACAGAATAACAACAACAAAATCCAGAAAAACGCATGTCAAAAATGTTATGAATTGATTTGCATTTTAATGAGGGAAATAAGTATTTGACCTCTCTGCAAAACATGACTTAGTACTTGGTGGCAAAACCCTTGTTGGCAATCACAGAGGTCAGACGTTTCTTGTAGTTGGCCACCAGGTTTGCACACATCTCACGAGGGATTTTGTCCCACTCCTCTTTGCAGATCTTTTATCCAAGTCATTAAGATTTCGAGGCTGACGTTTGGCAACTCGAACCTTCAGCTCCCTCCACAGATTTTCTATGGGATTAAGGTCTGGAGACTGGCTAGGCCACTCCAGGACCTTAATGTGCTTGTTCTTGAGCCACTCCTTTGTTGCCTTGGCCGTGTGTTTTGGGTTATTGTCATGCTGGAATACCCATCCACGGCCCATTTTCAATGCCCTGGCTGAGAGAAGGAGGTTCTCACCCAAGATTTGACGGTACATGGCCCCGTCCATCGTCCCTTTGATGCGGTGAAGTCCTGTCCCCTTAGCAGAAAAACACCCCCAAAGCATAATGTTTCCACCTCCATGTTTGACGGTGGGGATGGTGTTCTTGGGGTCATAGCATTCCTCCTCCAAACACGGCGAGTTGAGTTGATGCCAAAGAGCTCCATTTTGGTCTCATCTGACAACACTTTCACCCAGTTGTCCTCTGAATCATTTAGATGTTCATTGGCAAACTTCAGACAGGCATGTATATGTGCTTTCTTGAGCAGGGGGACCTTGTGGGTGCTGCAGGATTTCAGTCCTTCACGGCATAGTGTGTTACCAATTGTTTTCTTGGTGACTATGGTCCCAGCTGCCTTGAGATCATTGACAAGATCCTCCCGTGTAGTTCGGGCTGATTCCTCACCGTTCTCATGATCATTGCAACTCCACGAGGTGACATCTTGCATGGAGCCCCAGGCCAAGGGAGATTGACAGTTCTTTTGTGTTTCTTCCATTTGCGAATAATCGCACCAACTGTTGTTACCTTCTCACCAAGCTGCTTGGCAATGGTCTTGTAGCCCATTGCAGCCTAGTGTAGGTCTACAATATTGTCCCTGACATCCTTGGAGAGCTCTTTGGTCTTGGCCATGGTGAAGAGTTTGGAATCTGATTGATTGATTGCTTCTGTGGACAGGTGCCTTTTATACAGGTCACAAGCTGAGATTAGGAGCACTCCCTTTAAGAGTGTGCTCCTAATCTCAGCTTGTTACCTGTATAAAAGACACCTGGGAGCCAGGAATCTTTCTGATTGAGAGGGGTTCAAATACTTATTTCCCTCATTAAAATGCAAATCAATTTATAACATATTTGACATGCGTTTCTCTGGATTTTGTTGTTGTTATTCTGTCTCCCACTGTTCAAATAAACCTTTCATTAAAATTATAAACTAATCATTTCTTTGTCAGTGGGCAAACGTACAAAATCAGCAGGGGATCAAATACTTGTTTCCCTCACTGTAACCGACAGTGTAACTTGCAGCCAAACATCCCTATCCGGAAGAAACCCCCCTCCCCCCCCCCCCTGCATATTCCTCATTTGGGATTGCACAACGTGTACACCATCGCCCGCTACTGCAAAAAGTTGGCAGGACCCATCTGGAAAACAGTTTTTTTCCTGGGTTCTTCTGTCGTGTGGCTGATGTAGATGCAGAACAACAACTGCTGTTTCACAGTCGGTGGGCAAGCCAGCGTCATCGTGTAAAAATAGCACAGCGCGCTAGCCACTGCACCAGTGCTTCACCCAAAACAACAACAACAAATATAAAAACAAATGCCGTTAAATTATTGTCCGGGCATTGACCTCTTTATGTGACAGGACATTTGCACGGTGGGAACTCGCAAGCTCCGTGTTTAGGTAGGTACGCAAAAATCTGTAAAAACTTGACCCCTCCCTATAAGCATGCGAACTTTTTACACCACCACCCACCTGAGTACGTTCACCTGACGCACCCCCCCCCCCCCACCCCGAATCCTATAGAACGGCCGATATTTAATCCACGCAGAAACGATCAAGGATTAATAATATTAACGTGTTTAAGCAAACAGTCCACACCGCCGGACTATCTAATTTGAAGGGCAATGCAGAAAAATTATTATCGAGGCTTTAGCCCCCCCCCCCCCCCGTTTCCTATGCGTACATTGTCAGTAGACCCCCCCATACGCGAAGCGAACGCATTTGGGTTAACCCGCTTCCCCCCTCCATGCGTACCTACTAAATGGATGGTCCCTAACACGCGTTCGTTGCTTGTGGCGTGTGTGTGTGTCCAAGTTGTGTGTGTGTCCAGGTCTGTGTGTGTCCAAGTTGTGTGTGTGTGTGTCCAGGTCTGTGTGTGTCCAAGTTGTGTGTGTGTGTCCAGGTCTGTGTGTGTGAGACCAGGTCTGTGTGTGTGTGACCAGGTCTGTGTGTGTGTGACCAGGTCTGTGTGTGTGAGACCAGGTCTGTGTGTGTGTGTGTGTCCAGGTCTGTGTGTGTGTGTGACCAGGTCTGTGTCTGTGTGTGTGTCCAAGTCTGTGTGTGTGAGAGACCAGGTCTGTGTGTGTGAGACCAGGTCTGTGTGTGTGTGACCAGGTCTGTGTGTGTGTGACCAGGTCTGTGTGTGTGAGACCAGGTCTGTGTGTGTGTGTGTGTGTCCAGGTCTGTGTGTGTGTGTGACCAGGTCTGTGTGTGTGTCCAAGTCTGTGTGTGTGTGAGACCAGGTCTGTGTGTGTGAGACCAGGTCTGTGTGTGTGTGACCAGGTCTGTGTCTGTGTGTGTGACCAGGTCTGTGTGTGTGTCCAGGTCTGTGTGTGTGTGTGTCCAGGTCTGTGTGTGTGTGTGTGACCAGGTCTCTGTGTGTGTTCAGGTCTGTGTGTGTGTGTGACCAGGTCTGTGTGTGTGTGAGACCAGGTCTGTGTGTGTGTGTGACCAGGTCTGTGTGTGTGTGACCAGGTCTGTGTGTGTGAGACCAGGTCTGTGTGTGTGTGTGACCAGGTCTGTGTGTGTGTGTGTCCAGGTCTGTGTGTGTCTGTGTGTCCAGGTCTGTGTGTGTGTGTGACCAGGTCTGTGTCTGTGTGTGTGTCCAAGTCTGTGTGTGTGTGTGAGACCAGGTCTGTGTGTGTGAGACCAGGTCTGTGTGTGTGTGTGTCCAGGTCTGTGTGTGTGTGTGTCCAGGTCTGTGTGTGTGTGTGACCAGGTCTCTGTGTGTGTTCAGGTCTGTGTGTGTGTGTGTGACCAGGTCTGTGTGTGTGTGTGTCCAGGTCTGTGTGTGTGTGTCCAGGTCTGTGTGTGTCCAGGTCTGTGTGTGTGTGTGACCAGGTCTGTGTGTGTGACCAGGTCTGTGTGTGTGTGACCAGGTCTGTGTGTGTGTGTCCAGGTCTGTGTGTGTGACCAGGTCTGTGTGTGTGTGACCAGGTCTGTGTGTGTGCGACCAGGTCTGTGTGTGTGTGTGTGACCAGGTCTGTGTGTGACCAGGTCTGTGTGTGTGACCAGGTCTGTGTGTGTGACCAGGTCTGTGTGTGTGACCAGGTCTGTGTGTGTGACCAGGTCTGTGTGTGTGACCAGGTCTGTGTGTGTGACCAGGTCTGTGTGTGTGATCCGCACTGCTGCTGCTGTGGCTCGTGATGCGGTGTCGCTCCACCACTACCAACCACCTCCCCCCCACGGCTCAGAATGATTGTGGTGCAGTCCGCACCGCTCAGTTATTCGACGGCTGTCCCCGCGTCGGCATCTTCCCGAGTCGCAGACGGTGGCCAACGCGCCAGGCAATCGAAAGCATTGGGTACGTACGCTCGCGTGGGCGGTGGGGAGTGGTGAGTGGTGGGGAGTGGTGAGCGGTGGTGAGCAGTGAGGAGTGGTGAGCGGTGGGGAGTGGTGAGCGGTGGTGAGCAGTGAGGAGTGGTGAGCGGTGGGGAGTGGTGAGCGGTGGTGAGCAGTGGGGAGCGGGGAACGGTGGGGAGTGGTGAGCGGTGGTGAGCAGTGGGGAGCGGGGAGCGGTAGGGAGCGGTGGTGAGCAGTGTGGAGTGGTGAGCGGTGGGGAGTGGTGAGCGGTGGTGAGCAGTGGGGAGCGGGGAGCGGTGGTGAGCAGTGAGGAGTGGTGAGCGGTGGGGAGCGGTGGTGATCAGTGGTGGTGAGCGGTGGTGAGTGGTGAGCGGTGAGTGGTGGTGAGCAGGGGGGAGCGGTGAGTGGTGGTGAGCGGTGGGGAGCGGTGGTGAGCGGTGAGTGGTGGTGAGCGGTGGTGAGCGGTGGTGAGCAGTGAGTGGTGGTGAGCGGTGGGGAGTGGTGAGTGGTGGTGAGTGGTGGTGAGCGGTGGAGAGCGGTGAGTGGTGGTGAGTGGTGGTGAGCGGTGGAGAGCGGTGAGTGGTGGTGAGCGGTGGGGAGCGGTGAGCGGTGGTGAGCGGTGGTGAGTAGAGAGCGGTGAGCGGCGGTGAGCGGTGAGCGGCAGTGAGCGGTGAGCGGTGAGTGGTGGTGAGCGGTGAGCGGCGGTGAGCGGTGAGCGGTGAGCGGTGGTGAGCGGTGGTGAGTGGTGAGCGGTGAGTGGTGGTGAGCGGTGAGCGGTGGGGAGCGGTGACGTGGTGAGTGGTGGTGACCGGTGAGTGGTGGTGAGCGGTGGTGAGTGGTGAGCGGTGAGTGGTGGTGAGCGGTGAGTGGTGGTGAGCGGTGGGGAGCGGTGACGTGGTGGTTAGCACCACGCTGCGCTCCGAACCCGGCCACCCGGGTTCGATTCCCACTCACGACCAACACCAGTGACCGATTATAAATCTGAACCGGGTCTGGGCCTCCCCTAGGTCGCCTCGGTCTCAAACGAGTACCCCGGTCGCGGTGTGTGTCGTAAACATCGCCGCCACTGGGGGAGACAAAGGCGGCCGGCCGTGGTGCTGACCACCCACCCCCTTCGTGCGCCACAGTGCCGGCCTCCATAGAGGTGCTGCGACTCGCGAAGCGACAGTCGCGTTAAGGCTCCACGGGGGATTCTCTGGCGAGCTCATCATCGTTCGCGGTCGAGAGTGACAGCTCCAAAGGTCACGATCCAGCAGCCCCTTCGTCCGCATCCCACACTTGGTTTGGACATGTTTTGTTTGTTGTAGTACGGAGTTAGACTGATGGCCTTGATCTAAGTTGTCTTGTGGTTGTTGTCGTTGTTGTTTGACTTTGTATCCCACTGGGATTTTTGCACACAGCGTTGGTGTACGGTGCTTTTTCTGCAATATTTTGCCGTCTTTTCTTGGATTTTCTGTTTGCGCAAAGTCACGTAGTCACTTTAAGATGCTTTTCTTGTTCATGTTTTTGTTTGTTGCTTGTTGCGGTTGCACCCGATTCAAGAGCCGAATGGCTCACAGGGCTCGATACCAAAATAAATAAATGAAACTGAAAGAAAAAAAACTTTCTGCCGCGTTGTGAACGTCCCCGAAGCACACTCCAGAGATCTCCCTTCGCACGAGGCATCTCCTCGGGCTCCAGCCTGGCTACTTTGCACGCCTGCTATGTACACACGGACAGCCCTTTATGTCAATCCACCGCTGGATGAGGACCTCCTCGCCTCGTAGGGAAACAGGTCCCTGCAGGATGGGCTGGTAGGACAAGTCTCTGCGCTGTCTATTGCTGATTTTACACCCCAACAGCACGAGATTTCACTTCGTTAAAGTATTGAAAGGGGACGGACGGACACATTAATCTATTGCAGGCTGGTACACTCAGTTTACAACTTCGTTCCTACCAGTATAACGTAACGGTACTTCACCATGCTGGTCCAATGCGCGTTGGTTCGGGAGGAGAGAGCATCGATGCGGGGAGCGTGGACTCGCAGCAGGGTGGATGTGGGTGCACTGCCCTCCTCTGCTTACGGTTCTTTTTTTTTAATTTGTTACACGGCTATTCCAGTTTCGTCGACTACTTTACAAGTGAGATCCGTGGCGCGTGAGCTCAGCAGTAAGCAGCAGCAGCAGCAGCAAAAGAGTAAAGGGCATCATCATCATCAATAATATTGCTGAGTGTACAAGGTCCTTCAGGAATATTGCACGACAACAAACGAGGTGTTTAAGTGTCATACAGAAAAACAATCGGTGCAAAATGTGAGAGAGTAAGAGGCGCCTAAAAGAGTTCGGTACACGCAAGCTCTGTATTTTAGTCTAACAAAGACAAAGATCCCCCGTGTAGCCTAAATAGACTGTAGGGGCAAGTGCTGTTAGCGAGCACCTATGAAGGCCGGCACGACACACGAGGGGCTGGGTGGCCAGCACCACGCCCGACCGCCTTTGTCTCCCCAGTGGCCATGTTTACTACACACCGGCACCAAGGTTACTCATTTGAAGCCGAATCGACCTAGGGGAGGCCCAGGACCGGTTCATATAATTGTCACTGGTGTTGGCCGCGAGCGGCGATTGAACTCGGGTCGCCGGGTTCGAAGCGCAGCTCCACTGCAGCTCCCCGTAACAGTAAACATCAACACAGGCGAATCGAAAAGGAGAGTGCGAGCGTGTGAGAGCAACAGGCGAGGGGTACTTGTGCAAGTAATCTCCGTGTGTTTTGGCCTCAAAGGGAAATGAAGAGGTGGGGGGGGGGGAGTGTGTGAAGGAATTTGTAAAAGAGAGCGGCAAGAGTATTCCAGAAACGTGGAGCGGCAACGAACAACGTTTCCTGCATAAACACAAGATCCAGGTCCGATTCAACACAGTACATAAAATCCGTGATCTGGTTGCGTCTGTAAGAGATGTGGTTCCAGACATACAGTGCCCGGGCGTCTACAAACTAAGTTGCCTCTGTGGTAGCAGCTACATTGGAGAAACCAAACGACATATCTCGGACCGCATCCATAAACATAAAGCAGACTTGAAACACGGTAGGACGAACACCTCGGCCGTGGCAGATCACTGTTATAATTCAGTAGGCTCACATGACATTGACTTCTCCAAGACGGAGGTTATCTGCAAGCCATCCGGCTACCATGAGAGATTCGTTCATGAGGCTATCCACATATACAAGCACAGAGACAATTTCAACCGAGAAGATGGATTCTGGCTTAGCAATCATTGGAAAGACGTTATCATAAATAAATGCAAACACCGTTTTAAAATAAATAAATAAATACAAACCGCCACTTCTTTCAAATGTTTCTTGCCGTTGGTTTTCACACCTGATGATGACTTTGTGTTGCAGTCGAAACGTCGTGATAATTTTATTGTTATATATATATTTTATTATTTTATTGTTTCCCTTCAACGTGACTTTACCGAAAGAACCAAGAATATGAAACACTGATGTAGTTTATATTTTAGTTTTTATCAGTTTACTATATGGTATTCATTATATAGTGTAGTGTATACCCAGTTACTTTATGTTAATAGCTCAACTTATTGAAGAATATATTGAGTACATTTATTATATTGATGTAGCTTATACTTAGTTTTTTTTTCACATTGGTTTATTGTATGATAGTTGGGTAGTTGCAGTCCTTTAGCGTCAATATACTAAATGCCTCTGTTGATATGTAAACTCTGACTTTAACATAGCTATTTCCGTGACCAGTTACATGCTAATTCCTCACATTAACATCATACTAATCTCCCAGTTACATGCTAATTTCTGACTTTAACACCCTGCTAATCCAACACTTTAACACAGCTATGTTAATGCTAGATTCTCCTGTTGATATGTAAACTCCTTTGTCAAGGCGCTCTGCTCCTCCCACCCAGCTTAAAAGACGCTGCCAAGCTTAGCAGCGTTCATTGAAGTGCTGTCGTCCCGACAGTTCTGTTCCTTCACCTGAAGAAGTCTACTTGTGTTGTGGCCAAAACGTTGTGAGGATTTTATTTTATTATGTTTTATTTTTATTATTTTATTTTCATTCCACGTGACTTTACCAAAAGAACCAAGAAGATGAATCCCTGCAGTCACGAAAGTTTTACATCGAAATTTAATGTTTACCAAAGTTTTAGCAAATTGATTTTGTTGTCAGAATAAAGAGTAACTTCTGAGACTCCAGAAGGGAGTTAGAGGAACTAAGTGGTCCTTCACGTTTGTTGAAAACGACCTTTAGGTTAAAGACAGCCAGCGGTGGTCTCTTCGGATATCCAGGGGGGGACAGGTTAGACTCAATTATGAGTTCTATAGGGCGCATCAAGGGCAAAAATGGACAGCGGAGTGATATAATGGAATTAGACGTTTTAATGTAGATTCAGAAGCTGTAGATGGTGTCATAATAATAACATGTGGGCAGAATGGTGGCTTTAACTGCAGTATATTCAGACAGAGTTAAGATAGAATCAAACATTTGTTTCTGTATTGAAATCCTATTTAGTTGTTTTTATCTTCACGAAAGCCTACGTGTTAAACGTTTTTTTTATCTTGTTTGGAATATTTTTGTTGCCAAACAGCTTGAAGGCCAGGGGAAAAACTTATTGTCCAGTTCTGTGGCCAACCATTTGCAACACGATCGAACACCAAAATACCTTGGCATCAGTCTTTGACCGTACGCCGACGCTCTGGCAGCACGTGCAGGATGCAACGCCACAGAGGATAAACCTCGCGTGGAAAGTGCCAGGCACCACCGCAGGCAGCAGAGCCAGCACGCTACGCACTGCTTCACTCGCCCATACCCGCACCTCCGATTAGCACGGTTGGCCACGTATGGTGCGAAAGAAGTGCAACTTGTGTTCGTACATACATACCCAAACAGTGGAGTACTGCTGCCCAACCTGGCTCAGGAGTCGTTATACAATCCTGGTAGATACCCACCTCCAGACAACCATGAGGGCCATCTCTGGAGCACTGACACCAACACAG